GAACTTGATAGTCTCGTGGTTGCTGTTTATGAACTATTTTACCTCTTCTAAGTCCACCTCTGTTTCAGAGAAGATAAAGAAGATGTTATCAATAAATCTTTTGTAAAACTTTATAGACTTTGGGAATTTTAGGGAGATTGTTTCATCGATCCTACCCATAAATAGATTAACATATGGCGGATTAATGTACATGATATTTGGTGGTGACGGATATCTCCAAAGTTAAATGTGCTATTTTCAAGAATTTTTTAAATTATAATCTATATATATATATATATATATATATATATATATATATATATATATATATATATATATATATATATATATATATATATATATATATATATATATATATATATATATATATACATATATATATATATATATATGTATATATTTATATTCAAATATTAACTTTATTGGATAATAATAAAAAAATTAGATAACAATCTTAATAATCTGTCATACACCTATTTTAAAAAAAGGAAGAAATCAGCTCTTTCATAACATCTTGTCAATGAAAGAGCTACTCTGTGCTATGAATGAGCCGTGACGATTTTTCTAAAACTAACAATTCTTTTAAGGGTAATAATCTGTTAACTAGACTTTATAAATTCAGATTGTACTTTAAGTTATACAATTCTATGATAATCAATGATAAAACAAATGATAAAACTGCTTTAATAATAGTTTCAATTTATTATTAAAAAAATATCTTCATGTAACAACATCAAAAACTAAAAAAAAGTATCAGAACCATTTTTGGCAAAAGGAGTTAATCACACCTTTGGAGCCACAAGATTCATGTGCCCATCTTTCACATACCTTGCACTGGTCTCATGTGTGACCAAAGCATGAGTGATGGAAATCTATACTTTTTGTAAATGCAGGTTAGCTTTTCAAAGAATGTGTTAATATTTGTCTTGTTGAAACTTGTTGCTCTGAACAGAGATGTACACTCAGGTTTTCTAACTGATAAACCTTTGTGCCTAGTCATAAAGCCACGAAGCAATACACGAAACAATATTTTATCATCCTTCCATGTTTCAGGACAAATATTATTTGCTTCTGCGTACTAAAAAGCTAGTTCCCTTGCTTGTTGTTTTGTCAAACTGTGGCGCATTTTAGATGCAGTTTTAAGATACAAAACTAATAAATCATCTTGATATTTAGAAAAAATTGCTGAAGCTGTGGGCCTTTGGGGTTGTCTATTAGTTACGTCAACACAAAAAGGAGGGGGTGTCTAAACTTTTTTGACAATTGTTGACAAGAGGGAGGTGGGGGAGATCAATAAAAATCAACATTTTTTTTTTTTTGATTTTTATTGTATAGGAGGGGTTCATCACTTCTTTGTATAGGAGGGGGGTAATCAAAAATTGACCTACTTTTATAGGGGTCTCTGGAAACTTGACAAATTGTTGACAAGGGGGAGAGCGGGAGGTAAAAATTTCAAAAAATACTGTTGACGTAACTAATAGATAGCCCCTTTGTCGCTTTTTAAAGGTTAATACTTGTAAAGACATGTTTTCCTTTTAAAGATAAAAAATATCAAATGAGAAAAACAAAAGTATTAATATACACTAGTCAAATATTTATAAAAACATTAATATAAACTAATCAAAAGAACAAATTGTTTTGACTACATCTTGACGATAAATGTTATCTATGAATCATAGTGATTATAAGACATTTCACATATATTAACTATGCTAATAATCAGTGGCGGATTAAGACTTCTAGGGGCCCGGGGCTATTTTTGTTTTTGGAGGACTTTTTATGGGCCAGAGCCTAAAAATGACTAAAAAAAAAAAAAAGTTCTTTAAAATTTTTTGGGGCCCCTAAATTTGCGAGGCCCGGGGCTATAGTCCCCTCTTGCCCCCTTGATCCGGCACTGTATATTTGATGTTGTTTTATTGTACCAAGTTATGATACAAAGTCTCTTGTTCAATTGAGAGTGATCAATTAAGTAAATTGTTCACTAAATATTATACTAAATTATTTATAAAATACTAAATTACTTATAATATTGTATAAATTTATATTATTATATATATATTATAATTATATATTAAAATATATAAATATTATAATGTTATATAATTATATAATATTATATAATTATATATATTATAATATTATATAATTATATAAATTTATATTATTATATATTATTATATATATATTATAATATTATATAATATTATATTATATAAATACTTATAACATTATATTTAATATTATAAGTATTTATTTATAAAATAGTAAATTATTTATAAAGAGTTTGATTATTTGAAAAAATACAACTTTGTGATGGAACTTAAAGTTTCATGCCCACGTAACTTTAAGTTCCATCATGAAACTTAAGGGGCATGAAACTTTAAGTTCCATCACAAAGTTGTATTTTTTCAAATAATCAACATCTTTATATATATATATATATATATATATATATATATATATATATATATATATATATATATATATATATATATATATATATATATATATATATATATATATATATATATATATATATATATATATATATATATATATATTATATATATATATATATATATATATATATATATATATATATATATATATATATATATATATATATATATATATATATATATATATATATGTATGTATATATATATATCCTTATTACCCTTAAAAGACTTGTTAGTTTTAGAAAAAACGTTACGGCTCAATATATATATATATATATATAAATATGTGTGTGGTGCATGTTGTTTCACTCGCCGCTCTATCTACAAATTTTCTATTGGATTTAAGCCTGGTGGGTCCGCAGGCCATTCCAGCACCTTGATCTTTTTTTTAACAAACCAGCGTTGAACTGCCTTTGCTGTACGGCACGGTGCACCATCTTGTTAGAATGTGGTACATCGATATATTTGCATTGTACTAAGTTTATTTGTTTATTTCACCGTTTAATATCTTTTACAATTTGAAAGTTTATTAATAAAAACACTGGTATTATTTTGTCATATCACCAAGCCCCAATCGTACGTATTTATAATAACGGTATAATAAATTTATACTTTACAAATTATTTTTGAAAATTATAAACGTGAAAATAAACAACAATTAGTTTAAGAAACACTTAAAGAACAATATTCATGTTAAAAGTAATCAAGTAAACAAGAAAAATCGAAAGAAAAGAACGAAAGAGAAACAAAAATAAACAAATAAATTCAAGAGTGCGTATTTACAAGAGCCAAACTATATACGCATACTATACAACTTATTTATTGAAAAATATAAAAATAAAATATATAACATTTTGTAATAAAGTAATATTTAAATAAAGAAAAAAATTAAAAATAAAAGAATACTTTATTTACAACAATTCGTAATATTTATGTATATTAAAACCATTTTGTAAAAAAGTAAAATTAACAATAATTCCTTGATAGTTAAAAAAAAAAGAAAAAATATTCAATAACTTTTAAGATTAGAGGATCAGATGAAAAAAGTTGATACATATTTTATATAATTGAATTTTAGTTTAAAAGAAGCATTTAAAATCGGATATGTTAAAATCCATAAGTAATAACACCTGTTTCGATTAATTTTTAAACTGTTGTTACTAAGTTTTTTCGTATTAGCAATATAAAACTTTTTCTACAAATAAGTTCTACGATATTGAACTGAATATGTAATTTGCTTTGAATCATATTTGGGCACTATGTAGTTATTATCTGAAAATTTTGTCGGGTATATATGCACTACTTTTTCAAAATAGGACTGAAATAATTTAGGAGATAACAACTTATGAAAGTAAAATATAAACTTTTTTAATTTATTATTAAGATTTTTTATTAAAAAATGGTTTAGCCCTATATATCGTGGCAATATTTTTTTGATACTTTTTTCTCAATTCTTTTTTATATGATCACTCCTTTAATATTACGCCATAAACTTGAGTAAACTTCAGTAAACTTAATATTATATGAACATAAATGTTCATTTAATATTAAGTTTACTGAAGTTAAACTTTTAATGTGATTATTAGATTTAACGCTTTAATGGGAATATTTCCTGATTTACTTACTTACTATATGGAATAAAATATATTTAGTTTTATCCACATTTAAAGACAGTTTATTACTTATAACCCACTCATTATCCTTACCCAACTGTTCTTCAACTGTTTTAAAAAGTGCTTCAATTTCTCTGTGGGAATAAAAAAAAATTTGAGTGATCTGAAAAAAGAATACAATTCAAGATGTTTGTTGCTAAATTTAAATCATTTGTATATACTAGGAATTATAAGGGTCCTAAAATAGAGCCCTGGGGAACGCCACAAGTACATTGTTTGTTTTAGCTCATATTGTATAAATTGCTTTCTACTGGTCAAATAACTTTTGAACCACAGTTACAATTTTTTACTCCATAATATTCAAATTTCTTTATTAATAAATTATGGCTTACAGTATCAAAAGCCTTTGACATATCAATAAACACTCCTTATGTAAAGTAGTTTGTACATAATGCATTTGTTATTTGATTGACCATTTCAACCACTGCATGTTCAGCGGAACATTTTTTGGAAATGTTTCACAGGACATGCTTTTGTGTTCAGTGGAACACAAACTAAACTTTTTTTAATACAACATTGTTTTCTGATAAATGATTAAATAGCCTGTTGTACAATATTCTTTCAAGCAATTTTGAGTATACGGTAATATAGATGTAGCCCAGCACGCATTTTGACGTTGATTCAACGTTGGAAGCGCGTTGATTTAATGACGTTGATTTAGGCGTTGAATTGGGGGCAAAAAATCGACGTTGAAATATCATCATTGATTCAACATCAATAAATTAACATTAAATTGGTGTTGATTTACAACCGTTGATTTCTGCGTTGATTTGAAAACAAGATACCGGCATTGAAATATCAACATCAATTCAACATCAAAAAAACAACGTTGAACTGATGAAACGTTTTCGAAAGATAACACTTTAAAAACTTACTAAAATGTATTTTTTAAAAACTTTTACCAGTGAGCGCAAAGAGGTAATTTAATTTTCATTGTCGCAACTTCCTTCACTCTCATTAGACTCAAACATCATAATCTACTTCACAGTCATCATCATTTTGATTATCTTTATCACCTTCTTTTATTAACTTTTTCATCTTCTTTTTTTTTTTGGTTGTAATATTTTCGTTTACCTCTATTTCAAACAGTAAGGTGCATACATCAAGCAGAAGACTAATATGTCCTAATTTCTTTGTCAATTGCTTTTGCATAACAGCGCTTAATCGAATCTAGAAAATAAATGCAAAAATATTCAAATTCGGTCAATCAAATAAAACTGTTGAGAAAAAAGGAAATAAAATTTTAAATTTAAATTATTTCAAATAGATATATGAAGTTTACAATTTTCATATAAACTGATTTATTTATTTTTTTAAATTTGCTTAAGAAAAGTTTTAAAAATTTTTGTGAATTTAACTAAACTCATTTAATTTTAACTGGCAGCCATAAAAGAGAAATATATGAATATATATATATATATATATATATATATATATATATATATATATATATATATATATATATATATATATATTCAATAAATTAAAATTTATAGACATATCTGCAATCACTAATCCTGTTCAAATATTTTTTGAACAATTTTTTGTCATAAGGAGCTCCTTTACCTATTTATAAAAAAAGGGCTAATGTCAATTCATCGCCCTGTACCAATTGGAATCTGCCAAGATTAGGCATCGATGCATCCCTAATATATAATCAATCAATATATTTCTGAAATAGTTAGTGGTTACATTTTAAAGTTGTTTACAAATAGCAGTATTTCTAATACTAATAAGTAAACACCTAATAAAAATGATAAAAGTAATAATAGTTATAATAATAAAAATAACATTTTCAAAAATAAACATTAAAATGACAACATAAAAATACAGAAAAACATTACTAATAATAATAATAATAATAATAGTAATAAAATTAATAATCATAAAAATAATCATAAGTTACATGTTTTTGTAAACACAAATAACTATATGTACAATGTTAGACAGGTACAAACAGTTAAAAAAACTAATAAAACGTAACAACTAACAATGACATTAAACAATTATTTAAATAAAAAACAAGAAAATAAGAAAAATAATAATAAAATTAAAATAATTCCAACTATATCGATAACTATAACAAAAATAACAATAACAAAGAAGATTAAATTATAAGAAAAAAAATATTTAATATTAAAGTAAAACTATCAAAAATTGAAAACTGATAAAAACATAACAAAAATATAGTTAAAAAAAAGGTTTTAAAAAATATTAAAAATTTTATAATGTTATGTGAATACACAAACATACATATACACATATGCAGATGTACAAAGTTTACACACATATATTTTTGCATACATTAATACACAGACGCGCCATACAGAAATACATATACACTCACATAGAAAAGTATACATACACATTTAGATATACACTTTTGAAAATATACAACTTAAAAAATGTATGACCAACATTAAACTAAAAGGAAAAAATAATAATAATACAATACAATAAAAAGATAGAACAAAAAAAAACATAATATTATAAGCACAATAATGTCTGAAAAAGTAAAACAACAAACAATCCAAATAGCGCATAAAAATACATAGTAAAAGAAACAACCTAAAAAAATGCAGGACAATTAAAACAGTATACAAAATTAAATGAAAATATATATTATCATGTAATTGTCATATATATATGAAAACAATATATGAAAACAATTTAAAGAATTAATTTACTTAAAAAATTTTCGTTCTTTTTCGTTTTTGTTTTACTTTAAAGTTCGCTATTTTGTTTCTAATTCTATTTTTACTTTTATTTTTTTCTCTTCAATTAGTTTATTTATTTAAATTGTTTTGTATTGCTTTTACTTTGTTTATTGCTGTTTTTTGTTTTTTCGTCTATTTTAAAAACGTTTTTTTTTAGTTTTCCATTTCTCATTTATCTTTTCTCTCTCTTTTCACTGTTAAAAAACACCTCTGCTATTTGCGTTGGTAATGCAAAATCTTGCCTAAATTATATTAATAAATAAATATACGTACATATAAATATATAAATAAATATATAAATAAATATATATATATATAAATATATATAAATATATATATATATATATATATATATATATATATATATATATATATATATATATATATACATATATATATATATATATATATATATATATATATATATATATATATATATATATACATATATATATATATATATATATATATATATATATATATATATATATATATATATATATATATATATATATATATATATATATATATATATATATATATATATATATATATATATATGTATATATATATATATATATATATATATATATATATATATATATATATATATATATATATATATATAGGATGACGATATATATATATAGGATGAACTTTTTCTAAATTTTCGTAAATTTACATAGAATGTACACATACAGCGAGCAGGGAAAACACCCCACTATAAACAACCAGTTTTATAAATATTTGTTCCAAACGTATTCCACAACCAGGAGTCTAGTCTATTTTAGAAGGAAAGTACAGTGGAGTATAAAGTTATTTGCTCTGGTAGTTCGTTCCAGTATTATGCTGATCTATTATACAAATGATTATATCTTGGAAGACAGTTTGGAACATACTCACGCCTTATTTTAGAATGGTGACCACGAGATATGGAGTTAATATATTTTGGTAGATATTTATCATTAACTATATCAAAACAATGTATTAATTTAAAAATTTGAATTAAATCGCATCGAAGGCGTTGAAACTCAAGTGATGGTAGATTTAATCTTTTTAGCCTTTTGCAGTATTGGAGATGCCTCAAGCTGTAAGCCCATTTTGTTGCTTTGCGTTGAACTGATTCAACCAAAGCCATATCAGCTTTTAAATAAGGAGCCCAAATGGACACACCATATTCAAGATGTGGTCTTATAAATACTTTAAATAATTTGAGAGCCATTTTTTCATCAATGAAAAAATTATGAATTTCATCAATGAAAAAATTATGAATTCATTATGAAAAAATAAACTTTTTTGAAATGTTTAAGAATTCAACACCATGTAAAATTGTATTAAAATTAGTTAATATTGTTATTTTTGAAAATAAACTATAAAAAATAAAAACCTGTTGAAACCTGAAATTGTTTACTGTAGATTAAACAGTTACATAGTGAAGGAGTTGATTTCAACAACCAAATTTTTTCATGATTTAAAGTACCTTGAATCAAACATTTCTCATGACTAGATTATTACAATGATACAAACAAATTTAAGTTTGATGAATCTTTATCTCACCATGATAAACTATATCTTAACATGATAAACTATTTTAAAGGTTGTTTTTTGACTGAATCTGAACTTATTATTTTTAGATGGAAAGCTTTGGGAGATATAATCAATGCCAATGCAGTATTAAAACTTCAGCTGCTGAAAATGCTTGTTGCATTTTTATTTACTGCATGAATGAATGCAGGGTGTTAATATTTGTTTATCTTAGGCTGTCAACTGAGCCTATTCTAGGAAAAAAAATTGGGCGGCGGTACCACTCCGGCAAACTTTAGCGGAAAATTGGCGTTTTTTTTCGCGAGAAAACAATATTTGCCGTAAAAACGTAAAGAAAACTTAAAAAAACGTAAAAATTAAAAAAAAAAAAGGTCCTCAATTCTTAGTTTGGGAAAACGGTCTAGACTAGCCCCTGGTCAATACTGGGCTGGAAAAATATACCATTCGAAAAATAGTACAGTTGAGAGTGTAATGAAAGTAAAAGTACCATTGGTTTTACATACAATTAATGTTATGAAGAAATTAAAAAAATAAAAATTAGTTACAAGGTGTAAAAAATTCAAAAAACTATTATTAAAATAGATTCATATCTATTTAACAATACTGAACTTAATAGTAGTAGTAGTACGCTTTAGAGCCTTTTGTCACGGTACCCTTGACAGCCATCGCAAGCGAGGTAATGGCGAGAAAGAGTTGCAGCACTTTGTTTTATAAGAAAACGTGAACGACCGCGTATCCAAATATGTACGAACGTAAACTTTAAATTAAGTAATGTTAAAACATATGTTAAAACATACTGAAACATTTATCAAGTTTTACAGTTTGATTTTCACTTGAAAATTGCATTGCGTCAAGCTCCTCTTAATTTTGATCTATAACATTTTTTCCCTTAAAAAATCATTCTATTGTTTTAAATGTTCTCTTGAAAATGTGTCAGTGTGGCCGAGTGGATAAGACGCCGAGCTTCTGAACAAGTAAGCCGAGGTTCGTTTCCCACCACTGCACAGGTGGCCAATAGTTGGACAAAACTATAAAAATCCACGTCTGAAAACTTGAGTTTTTTTAAAACAGGTTTTAATATGATATATTGGGGACCTTACAATTTTTTGAATTAAATTATAAAAGAATATATTCTCAACAAAAAATTTATTTCAAGTATAGTTTTTACAAAAAAAAAAGGGCGATAAAGTGAGAAAATATGTTTTTTTTTATACAAAGCAAAAGTGTAGAATGAATTTTCGATAAAATGGTTTAATGTTTTAATTAACTTATCAAATAACTGTTAATATATAAAATTTATGAAGAAAAAAGAAAAAAAAAATTAAAACCGGTTTTTAATATAATATTTGGTCGCAAATGTCCTTTTTTTATATATATATATTTTTTGAAAAGACAACAAGGAAAAATCTGTGCTCTATTTTGTCTTTATTTCTTATACATATTTTAAAATGTGTGTGTGTGTATATGTATATGTATATATATATATATATATATATATATATATATATATATATATATATATATATATATATATATATATATATATACACACATATGTTACCAGTCTGTGTGTATATATATATATATATATATATATATATATATATATATATATATATATATATATATATATATATATATATATATATATATATATATATATATATATATATATATATATATATATATATATATATATGTATATATATTTATATATACACATATGTTACCAGTCTGTGTGTGTATATATATATATATATATACATATATATATATATATATATATATATATATATATATATATATATATATATATATATATATATATATATATATATATATATATATATATATATTAAAGTATATATGTATATATTTTAGTTTTATATTGTTATTACTAACATCAATTTCATCAATTCATAAGACACCTTAGTTAATCTATGTTTAATGAAAAAACTTGATGTTTTTTTTTTTGTGAATACTTTTATCTATTTAATGCTTAATTTTTTTTTAAACTTTTTTGTTTAAGTAATTTTTAAATCAAAGAGTTGATGAAATCTTTATGTTAATTCCTAACTCCAACCTAAGAAAAAGACTATTAAATCATCAAAAAAATAGGATAATAAAACAAAATCTATAATTAGTTGTAGGCCTGAGAAACCATTTGAATATTTATCAAATAAGACAAAGAGTCGTAAATTAGAAGCTATCGACTTATTAACTAGTTCCTCAAATGAATTGTTATATGCTAGTAGTTACAATCTTTTTGAAAATGGCAGAAGAAAGAATGTGAAAATAGTTCGAAGATTATCTGTAAAGCAACCTTCTGATTCAAAACATGCTCAAAACACTCTAAAAAAAGCTCTAGCACTCATATTAGATAATAGTGTGAGCAATTCTAATTACCAACACTTGAGAAATAATGCTGTGAGTAAAGGTTGTAAGCTCTATCATGTACACAATAATGTTCGTGCTAATAAAGAACATTGCCTTTCCAAACAAACAGTATGGACTGTTAATAGTTTTTCTAGAAAAATTAACTTCAAGCATTAGTCGATCATACATTAACACGCCTAATAAAATTGCAGAAACAAATTATCGATTCCATGTGTGATCTTGAACGACTAACGCTACGTTTGATGGATCGGCTAGCCAAAAAATTTATACTCAGATAACAGTTGAGAAAGAAAACTATAATTTTTTAGAAGATGCTAGTTTATTTATTTCAAATTTGCTACAGCATTATCTAAAACAAGTATATCTTCTAAGTGTTGTTCATTTTGTGGATTCAATAAATCAAAAATGAACGATCTTAATGCGGCTAAAAATATGTCATTGACAAAGATAGGTCTCTGCTTCGGCCTTTTAACTTTTAATCCAAGCATGGGCTTGGATTAAAAGCCTGAATACCTTAAAACTAATTATAAATTAATAGTGGAAAAGTGGTCTACAAGGACACCATTTGAAAAGAAATTTATCCTAGGACAAAAACAGAAAATTAAAAAAAAGGTTTTGTGATAAAGTTGGACTGGTAATTAATATGCTAATTTCAGTTAAATATATGTAATAATTGTTATAACTGATATGTTAATGTCCGTTGGACTGGAAATTGATATGCTAATGTTATCAAATTATGGAAACACTCCCAGCTAACACAAAACGTTCAATAAACGTTGCGAACGATTATAGAACGTTTCGAACGTTCGTAAAGTTTGTTGAACGTACTTGAATGTTTTGTGTTAGCTGAGCTGCTGGAAGATTTTTTTAAAAAGCAAAAAAGTTTGCTCAAATTCTTGAACTTGATGTCAGTATGATAAAGATATTATATGTTATTTTGTGTACATTGTCATCTAGTTTTTTAATTGACTCTTCTCTAATTAGAGAATACTGCTACAAAACAGTTGAAAAGTAAGTAAATCTATAACCCTGGTATCATATGTCACATTGTTTGCATCACATTCTTATTCATGGTTGGCAAGTTATAGAAAAAATGACTTTTTCTAAACGCATATTCAGTGAAGAGGCACAAGAAGCTCAAAATAAAAAAACTTTAAGAAGTTTCATGAATCATTTTCCAGAAAGTTTTCGCGTTCAAAAACAAATAAAAATTTATCAAGACAGCTAATGTGTTCCTCTAACCCTTCGATAAGTAGTTTGAGAAAATCACATTATTCTAAAAGCAACGCTCTTCTAATTGACATTTTTTATGTGCTAAAAGAGGTTCCAATTTTTGACTAACTAAAAATTGTAGTTGCATAGTTTTGATTTTAGTTGGTATTCAAGATGTTGTTTAGTTTGTTAGTATTTATTATTTATATAATAAAATAACGCATGTTATGTAAATAAATTTTTATGTGAATATACAAATTCGCTTGTATTTTTACATATACTTTATGAAGTATTCTATAGCTCTAATTGTACGAACGCTTGTTGATTTTTATTTGGTTGCTAAGGATAAATGAAATACATATATACAATTAGTTTAAATTTTATTTACTATATCGAATTTTATTAACTGTATTTATAAACCCTTAGAGTTTATAAATTTTTCAAAGTTTTTATTTCGTTTTTTAAAGAAATTTTGAGTTAACAAAGGTTTCATAAAAAAATTAAACGACTGGTTTCTAAAAGCTTAAAACTGCATATCAACACCAAATATTAGTTATTTTTTGTTTGTGTTATCATTCAAATACATAAAATAGCATTGTAGCATTAATATCAGTTTAGTTTATTATATTGACATTATTAGAAAGTCTCTTAATTTAGGTAACTATGCAATATGCAATGTTGCTATGAAATATACCCAGCAAACATGTTAGCGTTGAATCAACGTTGAAATCCGGTCGCAAAAGATGTTGCGGAAACATTGACAAAATAATCGATTTTGCAAAGATATGTAACGTTGTTTAAGAGACGTTGATTAAATGTTGTAGCGTAACGTTGAAAAATCGTTACTAAAAGACGTTACGAAAATGTCGCAACTAAACGTTGAAAAAGCATTACTTAAAAAGCGTTGCATTGGGGTCGCAACTTAACGTTGAAATAACGTTACATGAAAAGCGTTACTTTAACGTTGTTAAAGAAGTTGGTATTGCAAGGATTTGTAACGTTGGTAGTAAAACGTCAATTTAACGTGACTCAAAGACGTCGAGTAAAGGTTGAAATATAATGTTAAATCAAGGCTCAAATGCGCTGGACAAAATATCGCAAAATATTATTAAACGTGATTAAACTTGGCTATAATGTATATTGAATTTGCAAATAAAACAAAATTGTATGTTAAACTCTGCACTTGCAATATTTCCAAAGTCGATTTTTAATACAAATAGTAATATACAATGAAAAACATAAAAAATATACAATTTATTTATGTAAAATTTACAATTTATAAATAAAAATATAAACATCTTTTTTAAGATTTATGTGTGTGAGTGAATTTACAGGATTTTCGTGTGTGAGTAAAATTTGTGTGTGAGTGGATTTACAGGATATCGTATCGATAAGCCAGGATATCATTGAGATACAGAATCTAAATCAAAAAATAAAACTTGTATCATTATCAATCTGAGAGCAAATGTTTAAAAGATGTTATTGAATTAGTATGATCATTATTAAATTTAAAAAGTAAAAATAAATATATATATATATATATATATATATATATATATATATATATATATATATATATATATATATATATATATGTATATAAAAGTAAAAATAAATATGTATATATATATATATATATATATATATATATATATATATATATATATATATATATATATATATATATATGTATATAAAAGTAAAAATAAATATGTATATATATATATATATATATATATATATAATATATATATATATATATGTATATATATATATATATATATATATATATATATATATATATATATATATATATATATATATATATATATATTTATATATATTTATATATATGTATATTGTGATCGTCGTAATAGCATAAAATAAGTAATTTATTTTAAAAAATAACACGACGTTTTTTATTCTTGAAATGTTTTGTAGTAAACAACTGGGGTTGATATTTGACTGGGACCGGGGCGGGTTTGATAAAATATAGCCGGGGCCAGGGCCGGGTTTGAGACCAGGCTGCATAAACATTTATACATCCTAAAGTATATTTTTTAAATTAAAAATTTATGCTATTTTTTGTATATATATGCATATATGAACATAATTACGATCAACATGATCATCATAATCATCATAATCATCATCATCACCATCATGATGATAATGATGATGATCATCATCATCATCATTATCATCAACAGCATAAAAGCGGAAAGCTTGACAATGATAATAAAAATTATATTGATGTTGTTGATCGTCATCATGATAATCATCATCATCTTTATTATGGCACTATGTAAGGCACACTCTTCAAATTTTCTTACTTCTACCACAACCATTTTATACTGAAGCTGCTACCACTCTACATGTTAATACCTGAATTACTTTAACTTTTTCTAAAATAAAAGGTTGTTTGATACAAAGTTTTTTCTAATCTGTCTAAGATTATGCCTACTTTTTATATCTTGTTAGAGCCACACCACACATCCACCTGATCATTCTCTCTTTCGGCAAGTACTACACCATATAATTACTATAGTTTATACAACAATGAAAGGATATTGTATGCCAGCATCTAAACAAATAGCAAACAGATATGCTTATATCTATAATATGTGTGCAAAAAGTGCATCTTGGAAGCTTATATTGCTTCTGGAATAAAAGTTTGGAAGCTTTTATTACTTCTCTTCAGTTTTAAATCAAGCCTCATACTACTCAACATCTTTCAACATTAATTACGTTTTTCAGCTTTTTTATAAGAACACCTCTATTAAAAAAAAATTGTCTTTTTTATTATTGCAATAACCTAATGTATAAACAAAGTCTTGTCTGATGTAAATCTCTGTTATTCTCAGTTTACTAAACCTTGTATCTTATTTTAGATGTTGATTCTAGAGACTTTTGGTTAGTTTTCAACAGTGTTATTAACTAAAGTAAGTCTAACGTTTAATCTCTAACTTATGGGTCTCATCTTTTTACTTTACCCCAGAGTAAAACAGAGCTATTTACAAGGAAATCTTACTTTAGTTTGACTCTGGAATATAACGGCCATATTCTTCCTGACAGTAAAATATTTTTTCTAAACTTTAAACTAATCCATTGTAAAACATCAAAACTACTCTATCTTCCAATACTAAAACTAATTCTTAATTAAATACTTCTACAATGTGTGCTTTAGACAAGATTTCCATCATAGTCTTCAAAAAGTGTTTTCCAGAACTATCTACAATTTTTGCTAAACTTTAAAAAAGTGCTAAATACGTGGTTCCAGTTTTTCAAATCTCTAAAAAACACTTTGACCTCTCCTCTCTTACGATTCCTCTTCACTTTGTTATTAGTTTCTTATAATTTTCTATAAAAATGTTTTGAGGTAACTAAATTTATTCTTGAAGGCCTACCCTCTTTATTTCAAGTAACGTTAAGGTTCTATATTTGCTCCTGTAATATTTTTTATCTAAAATAACAATCATAATGAAATCTAAAGTGGATCTATTTGCTGATGACTCCACTTTATACTCTTGTCTTGACAATAAATCTTCACTTTTTAATTGCATAGAACAAGCAGCAAATTTTAAATCTGATCTCTCCTCTGTAATAACCTAAGGCTTGCTGTGTCTTATGGATTTAAATTCTGGACTTATAATCCACAGTTTTTGTTAGACAACATAATTCATTTATTTACTACAAAAAAATATTGCAATATTGTTGGTATTCCTATATTGACAAATAAAAACCCGATAATTATTATTATATATTATAAATAATAATAATAATAATAAATAATAATAATAATATATAATAATAATAATATATAATAATATATATAATAATAACAATGATAAATAAATAAATAAATATATATATATATATATATATATATATATATATATATATATATATATATATATATATATATATATATATATATATATATATATATATATGTATATATATATATATATATATATATATATATATATATATATATATATATATATACAGTGAATTTCCGGTTATTCGAACTGGAACTTATTTAAATTTCCTCTCTATATATATACATATGTAAATATATATATATATATATTTATATATATATATATATATATATATATATATATATATATATATATATATATATATATATATATATATATATATATATATATATATATATATATACATATATATATATATATATATATATATATATATATATATATATATATATATATATATATATATATATATATATATATATATATATATATATATATATATATATATATATATATGTATATATATATATTTATACACATAAACATTTATATATATATACATAAAATATATATATATATATATATAAATTTTGAAACAAAAATTGTCATATATCCATACAATAATTAACTAAATAAAACTAACTTCAATAGGTGTAACTCTAAATCATCAATTTAAATCATATTATTTACTTCGCTCATAAATGCAAACCAGTTAAAACCAAATCATTCCTCAATCTTTGATCCACCAGAACTTTACTAAATAAATTTATGCTGGTAATCAAACTACCACAAGTCAAAAAATTTAGACAGTATTATTGAAATCAGCTTTGACCAATAGTTAATATTTGATTTTTTTTCATTCTTTACTATATACAAAACAAAGAAAAGTTAAATCCGAAGAGAAACAAAATTATTCACAAACATAATTCTTCTTTGGAGTCCTCTTTAGTTGTGAAATTAAATCCTGCACATACTTCTTTATCTAATAGTAATTATTTAGTAAAATAAATATAAACAAAATTATGTAAAATCAAAAATGTAGAATAAGTGTAAACAGATTAAAATATATATCTAGGCAGTATTAATACCATAAACAGATTCAAAATATTACTTATTCCGAAATTAAAATAAAATAGTTTATTTGATATAGTACTTCACCGTTAATATAAAACTATAATAGTTTTTTTATTCATATAAAACAATTAAAATAGCAATACTTACTGTAAAATTTAATGAACTCCAGTTATTTTAACTCTTTTAAGTCTAAGCTAGTTGCAGGAATTAACGATTGGAAAATTATTATAGGTAGCATTCATTGCATGAACACAAGTTGGCCAAAATAACCATCCACCTTTTTTCAAACAAGATGGAACCTCTGCTTCAAACCTAATGTAAATGTAAATAATGTATATATAAATCTTTATATATACATTATTTACATATATATATATATATATATATATATATATATATATATATATATATATATATATATATATATATATATATATATATATATATATATATATATATATATATATATATACATATACATACATACATATATATATATATATATATATATATATATATATATATATATATATATATATATATATATATATATATATATATATATATATATATATATATATATATATATATATATATATAAATGAATATATAGCTTTTATGTGTATACACATAATTGTCATGTTTTGAAAATGTTTACAAGGAAGACTTGGAAAAAATTTTACACCACTGGATATTTGTCCACTAAAATACCTCTATTGACTAAAAAAGTTTGATTTATTACTCTGACAACTAACTTAAAAATGTCCAAATTTGTCCACTGACTGAGCTGAAATTTGTTCTGTATAGATATACTTTTATATATTTATGTTTGTGTTTAGCAATTTTTAACAATCTTTAACCATTTTTCTTAACTTATAAAATGAAAACAATTTAAAAAGTTAGAAGCTTGCTTCATTTTAAGTTACTAATGAGGAAAAGAAAGTTTTTAAATTATTTTTAAATGCAGGTTGGAGATAAATTTCTCTTCAAAATTCAGAAAACTCCTGCCAAATAAAACTTACTTAATAAAACTAGTATACAAACTCTTAATAAAATAATAAATAAATGTTAAACTATATAAATATTAAATTCCTCATAAAATATTAAACTCTTAAATATTGATAATAACTCTTTAATAAAATTTCCAAACCATTATACCAACTTATATATTTTTCAATAAAAATGACTAGACAAAAATGACAATATTTTGTAATTAAAAAAAAAAAAAAACATGTATTTATTATTATATATATATATATATATATATATATATATATATATATATATATATATATATATATATATATATATATATATATATATATATATATATATATATATATATATATATATATATATATATATATATATATATATATATATATATATATATATATATATATATATATATATATATATATATATATGTATATATATATATATATATATATATATATATATATATATATATATATATATATATATATATATATATATATATGTATGTATGTTAAAGTGATAATTTTTAAATAAATTATAAAATTTATTCTGTTAACAGACTTAATTTGGTCTGACTTATTATGTTTTATTAATTTTGATAATATTTTATAAATGTGAATTGTATTAAAACTAAATACTATTTCTAACTAAGAAATAAATATTTAAAAAAGTTGAGCATTTTATTAAAATCGTCAACTTAAAACAAAATAAAACATCGACAAAAATAAGCAGAATAAATCGAATTTACCCTGAGATTTATGTATTTTATACATTTTGATTCAAAATCTAAAGGTTTTAAATTAGTCGCAATAAAATAGGCTATAAAATATGACTTTATTAAATTTTTTTTTATACCATATGCATGCATTCTATCAAGTTCTCCTTGCCTTTCCATTACGGCAAATTTTTTTTGTAATGGCTAGTTATTGAGACAATAATTTTCAATATGCCATTTCCTCAAAACAACGTTTTATTAACGTTGGCAAAGTAACACTTTTTCAACGTCTTTTAATTACCACATTTTCAACCAACGTTGAAATAACGTTGAATAAGTGTTGTTTTTTCAGAGCAGAAAACGAAAGAGCAGCTAATGTCTAATGTTGATAAACCATTACCTTTGCGACGTTTTTACAGTGATTATTTGCGTACTTATTTTCAACGTTTAATAAACGCATTTTTTTGAGAAGATAAGATACGTTTAAGTTTATACGCTTATTCAACATTGAAAATGTAACGTTTAAAAAGCGGTTTATTTTTAACGTTGATAAAGAATATACTTCGAAACGTTTTTAAAGTGGCTTTTTGCGTAAGTTGATTCCACGTTGAATAAACGTTTTATTTTGAGAGGCTAAACTACGTTACATTTTCAACGCTTATTCAACGTTTCAGTTTACCGCGATTTAGTATACAAAAACAGACATTAGTTCAACGTTAAAAGCACGTTGTTTTTGTGACTGTAACGCTTTTTCTACGCTGCGACTGGTTTTCAACGTTGATTCAACGCTTACATGTTTGCTGGGTAGGTACCAATAACAACTAAATAAACAATCTAATGGTACCATTAAACTTTTATTATGAAATATGCTCAACCTGGCAATTATGAGAAAAATCTAATTAATATTTTAAAAGTTATTACTTTTGTCCAGCTAATGATGATTTTGGCCGACTGTGCACTGGCAATTTTTTTTTTTTTAATTTTGATTATTTCAAAATACAAAATACTTTTAAAGTTTTATAGAGATTATACACAAACATATGTAACGTTTTGTAAAAGTGTTTACAAATGTTTGTAAACAAACATTTGTAAACACTTTTACAAAACGTAAACGGGAGAAAAAATTAGTTGCGTATGTGTCATGATTGAGATACTTATGTTATTAATATGCTCAGATAATTAGTCCTAATAAGCTGATGATGATCTGAAAAATAAATTGTCTAAAACTTAATAAAGAAAAAACTTAATAAGGAAGTCCTGCTACTCAAGAAGGTGCTCCTGTGGAGGCATAAACAAAAAAAAGCATGTAGCTAGATAAAACTTTAAAACTTTTTTTTGGCAAGTAAAAGTTTATTTTGCTACATTTACTTTTTTACTATAAATATATGCTGCAACTGTTTTTCGAAACGCCTTAAAATGCTTATTACGTGTTTCAAGAAAAACGCAATTAAAAAAAGAATGTTAGGAGAAACTCTTTGCAAAATGTTTTTTGAAACGAATAATTTTTATGAACTTTTTCAGATCTCTTTAGAAATATGTAATCAATAACGTTTGGAGACGTATAAACTAGCTTATTTTGTAAAAAATTCAAATTGATTTTTTTTTTACCTTCGGGCGTTTTGAAAAACGGCTGCAGTATGGATGATACAACAAATATGTTGAAATAAGATAATTTGACACAAAATTTAAAAGCTCTTAACAAAAGCTCTTAACTATTTTTTTTTTAAACTTTGTTGCGCTTAACCATCCCAATATAAACAATATATATATATATAAATTGAATTTTTAAAAATTTTTGAATCGTATCTCGAATCATATTTTTGATTCGCTTCGATTTGAAACTTCGAAGCTTCACAGGACCCAAATATATATATATATATATATATATATATATATATATATATATATATATATATATATATATATATATATATATATATATATATATATATATATATATATATATATATAATATATATATATATATATATATATATATATATATATATATATATATATATATATATATATATATATATATATATATATATATATATATATATATATATATATATATATATATATATATTTGGGCCCTGCGAAGCTTCGAAATTTCAAATCGAAGCGAATCAAAAATATGATTCGATATACGATTCAAAAATTTTCAAAAGTTCGAATTCTTACTCTTTTATTTGTTGTGGGTATTTTGCACTTTTGCGCTATCAAAATAACGTTGCTTATCCTTAAATACCATTTTAATCAGTCATTAAAAAGGTTAACTAGGGCAAGAAGCATCAATAAAGAGATTATACAATTGTTTTTTGTTTTGTTTTGTTTTTTGAAACATATACTATTACAGGGCCAACAACACAGGCTTTAAAGTGGAGGGGGGGGGTAAATCATCAATTTGTGAAAAAATCCTTTATATCAAGAATTTTCTTTAAAAAAAAAAAAATTATGATTTTATTATAAAAATATATTTTTATATTAATTTTTATTTATTTATTTTATATTTTATTTCATTTTTAACTTTATCTATTTACAAATACGTTTAATTACAATAATATAACCAAGTTTAAACATTGCCGTTACCCTAACCCTAACTTTTAGATTAGCGTTTAATATTATTCTTTAGTGTGTAATCATAATCAAAAGAATGAACTTTTTTTTCATGGCTAGGTTTTAGTGCTCTAAGATTTTCTTAGTTCCATTTGTCTGTAAGTGTAAGCGTCTTTAGCATATGTTGAATTTGCAGGCATTATATGGAGTAATCGCGTATAATATATCTATATATTGAGAAAACTTTTATTTTAAATTTAAATTCTTTTTGATTTAAATTAAAATTTTATTTTAAAATTAAATTTAATTTTAAATTTTAGAAATCTTTTTGTTATATTACTACTTTTTTGCTATAAATATAGATTGCCCCTGTTATGAAAATTTATTACGCAAAGAGGAGGTTTTAAACTCTCAAAACAACAATAACGACAGCGCACTTAACCACTGAGCTGTCAATGATATGCATTTAGCAGAAAAACAAACCTTATTATAAGTCTCTTATAAGCTCTACGTATGCGGAAAAGATGACCATATTATTTCTTTTGCTCTTAAAGTTTTTTTTCAGAACTAAATTATTTTACTAAAAAGTTAGTAATAAAGGAATAGGTATAGAAATAATCGGTGTGGAATAGGTATGTATAGAAATAGTAGGTTTGGTAAAGACCCGTATTTTACGGATCCGGAAAGCTAGGATATATAAGGAAAAAGTATAAAAGAGTTCGGTTTGGAATAAACTTAGAAAGACCCGTATTTTTTTAAGTCCAATCTCAGCTAGTATAGTAATATAGCTATTGGTCAGAAGACTATAATATAACAGCTAAAGTCATGCGGTTCAAATAGGCATAATTAAAACGAAATAAAAAAACTTATTAAAAAATTATTTTTTACTGGCTATATAATTAAATTAGACTTAAATGCGTTTTCAAAATTTACTTCCTTACAACAACTCAAAGCAATACGACTGATAAATAAATAATAAACGAGTGTCGGGTGCGCTATTTTAATTCATGGAAGTTATTAATTTACTTTTCTAAATGCCAACAAATCAATTGACTCCGATTGTTTAAAAATTATACATTACGACATTGACACAGACAAAAATATTAGTTGCTGGTCTCTCGTTATGAAAGTCCTGCTGCAAGAACTTTTTTCGTAAGTTCTATAAACAGTTTTATTCATTTTGTTCACGCTAGTATGATTGTGTAAAAGTAGGTATTCATCTTTAGAATAATCAAGAGGTTTAATAACATAATATATATTTTTTTTACTTTAGATGCATTTTAGGTTAATTTAATTACATTTGCTAAAGAAAATTGATGGAAAAGAGCTGGTAAAAACCACTGCATATGTTATGTCGCAACGTTACTAATTTTTTAATGTCAAAAATAAGCATGGATGGTACAGGAATTTTCGGAAATTTCCATTCAGAAAATCATTTATATGTAAAGTTGTTCTGTGTAATTCCAATTTTGATTTATGAATTTACATTTAAAATACTAACTATTTCATCCTAGTTTTTTGCGGTAACAAATCAGGTTACAAGTTCAGGATACGAATGTAGAAGACGATGTTGTACAAACAAGTGTATTATGAACAAGCGGTAGACGGTATTCTAGGAAGATTTTTGATAATGCATAAACCAGAGAAAACAGTGATCTAAAATATTTGTTTATTAGTTTAATCATTTTGTTAGTAATCTTTAACTTAATCTTAATGCAAACTTTTATTTTCTGCTAGTGAAATTTAAAAAATATTTGATAGAAACTGTTACTATAAAATTTCCACTGCAAAAAGCTTGATCATTTAATTTATTTTAATTATGGAAACATAAACAAATATAGTGCACAAATATTTTTTCTCTAAATCCCTACTATATAAAAACGCTTTATATAAGTTTATAACTTTATATATAGTTTTATAAAATAAAAGTATAGTATAAATAATATAGTATAAAAGTTTTTAAACATTTATAATTTATAAATAAGATATAGCTTTGAAAGACCAGGTCTTTCAAAGCTATATCTTATTTATAAATTTCATTATTTTTATAACCATATCTTATTTATAAATATCTTATTTATCATTTTCATGACCAATATAGCTCTTATTACTTACATAAAGTTAAAAAGTTATAAAGTAATTTTAATTTATATCAGTTTTAAAACTTTTATAAATTGAAACTATTTTTTATTTTTTTTTATTTTAATTCACCTTCTCAAGGCCGAGAAGGCCACTACAGACGAGGAGGCTACTTATTTGTGGCTATAACCCTCTCTCAACTCTATAACTCCGAAACACGAACCTTGATGAACAAGGCCGCTGCGCGGAGAAACGAGTTGAGCGCGGTACTACCAGGGACGTGGTGAGGATCGAACTCCGAACCACTCGTTTATGAAGCGAGCGCTCTACCACTACACCACTACCGCATTATATAGAAACTACGTTAACTAAATCAAAGAAACTATTAGACAAGATCTAAACGTTTAATAAACGTTTACTTAGACTATATCTAAACGCTTTATATACGTATAATAATTCTATAATAAACGTCTAAAACACGTTTGAGGATAGACATTTTATGGACCTTTGTTCTAAATGTTAATTTGGATTTCATTCTAAACGAATAATCAACCAAATCTGAACGTTTTGTCGAAACGTTGTTTTGACGTTAAATAGACGTTTGTGTGTTTACTGGGTTTGATTTTAATATGTTGCTGCAGTATTTGTGGATATAGAAAAGATTTCTATACATCTAAAGTTTGTAATTGCACTCATGATATTAATTTTTGTGATGTATATAGCATGAGATCTATTGGGCAAGGGTATTCAGAACTTGAAAAGTTTTTTTGCATTAGTGAACCTCCCGAGTCCGATGAGTGAAAAAAATTACAATGGTTCTGTAAAGATTGTTACTGATGCTGTTACTGAAGTTGCTAAAGAAACAATGCTTTAGGATTTAAAACCAATATTTATAGATTTAAGTGAGGAGTCTTTGTTACGTAAATATTTGCATGGGCAGACACAAAATCAAGTCTAACTGCAATGATTTAGGATTGAATCCCAAAAACAATGTATGTCAGCCTAACACATTTAAAATTCGGAACATACGATGCTGTAGCAAACTTTAATATTGGAAGATAACTTTGGAAACGCTTGGTGTTTAATGATGAATTTTTCAGTAATCATTCCGTTTTATACCTTATGCTGTGTTTTGAACCTCCACCTTTATGAAATACTTGTCAGAACAACTTCTAGGCCTATTTCAGTTGCTTAATTTTGACCTAACTGTCATATTTTTTATAAAATTTCAGGTTAAGATAACAGCTCAAAGTATTAGTTACACGGAATTACAATATGATAATTTAAATATATGTAGTTCTTCGGATAAGTTAGCCAGGACAAAATCTGTTTTTGGGTTATTTTTCAATATTTTTTTGGTCACCAAGACAACAAAATAATTTTCAAAAATTTTTATTCTGAAATATAAAATTTTGACATTAAATGTTGTTTAAAATCAATTTAACTATCTGAAAATGAGTTTTAACAATTTTGGGGCACATCCCCCATGTATATATTCCCCATATGTTTTAAGGAATTCTGCCTATACAGGCAGGTTACGTTCCGACTTTCTTTTTTTACTTACCGGTTTTCAATTTTTTATGTATTACTATTTTTGGGCATATCTTTTGACGCTTGATCAATACGTAAATTTGAAATTTACGTTTTATTTAAGTTCCCAGTGGGCACGGAAGTAAAAAAGGACGTCTTTTAAACGTCTTATACACGTTTTAGACGTTTTCTAAACGTCTTTTGACTGTTTTGGACGTATTTTAAACGTTTAAAAGACGTCTTTTTAACTTCCGTGCCCACTGGGTTGCTAAAATATAGTACTAGATTTAAGTTTGCTATTTTAAAATTAGGTTATATACTAATTTTGATATTAATACTTATAATTTATAAATATGTCCATATTCCATAAATAGAAAATAAGTTAAACCATTCTCTCCATACACAATTTTTGCTTACACAGCGGGCGTAGTTACCTCGCAACATTTTTATGACGATGTAAAATAAAAGTCATATTTTTCAAGATTTTTTTTTCGTATACAACTAAAATATTTAAAAAATAACTTTTTTAAAACTTGAATCCAAGAAAGACATGAAAAATTGATCTTGAAGAAAAATAAAACTTAAAGAAAGATGAATTTAACACATGTTTAACAGTTGTCAAATTAAATATAAGTTAAGAATTCTGAAAATGTGACAAAAAAAAAAAAAAAAAAAAAATGCAAACATAAAAAATAAATATTTAGAAAAACTGAATTTTCATACGAAAAGAAAGTGAATAATCAAATGAAAGCAACGCGAATAAAATCAAAAACGCAAAGGAAATAAAAAAGAAGGCAAATCTAACTATTAAAAAACAATCCATAAATTGTTTACCTAAAATAAATATAAATTAACTCCATGTAAAATTAAACCATATAAAAACATATACAATATTTACATTACATCAACAAATGTGTAGAGATTTATAAAAATCAACCAACAAAACCATAGAAAACTTAGTGGAAAAAACAGTCGATTTATCAAGTATTAAAGAAATTAAATTATACCTAGTAAAATCGATGATGCAAAAAATGCAACAACAGTCATTAATACAAAAATTAAAACATAAAAATAAATTTTTTTTAAAACAAAACAAGAGAATAATAATAAAACTCTATAATGTGAAAAATGTAAAACGCGCGTTGCGTAATAAATAATTTAAAAAGATTTACAACCTTTATGTAACAACGAAATTGCATTATACTGCATCTTTAGATAATATCATCTAATAATGAATTAATTGGAAATGCTGTTTGACCCTTTACAAAATTTCTACACGGACAAATACGTTTCGCAGAATCTGTACTGCTGATGCAGCTAAATAAAAGACGATCGGACTGAATTAAACATTGGTCGTTTAATATTGCTGGGGCTATCAGTGACGCCTTTTTTACAGGTTTGGGACATTTGAAAAACGAGCTATCAACGTTTATACTTTCGAAAAAACCAGGTTCGCACAGCAAATCTAAACACAAAATCATAATTAACATAAAATCAATAAATGAATTTTAAAGATTTTCAGTTAAAAAAGATTGCTAAAAAATACCTTTTTTTTTGCAGACATCAACACAAGACTCTCCCGGGTCCCCAATTAATACCTGACGCGCAGACAATGGTGGCCATGTTTGGTTTGGCTTACAAAAATCATGATATTTTGTAAATACAAACAAACGTTCTAACATGCCTTCATAAGAAAACTCAAACGGTAAATAGGGCTGCGACTATAAAATATAAATATGTAATAAAAAATTACATTTAAAAAAAAAAAAAAATTATATCTTCTTAAACTTTCTTAACCCTTTCGTTACCGGGCTCGGCAACCTTATACTACCGTGACAAAAAATGGTGTTTTAACCCAACTACCATCGAAACTTCATTATGGGTTTAAAAAATGTTCAATTTATTTAAAAATTGGCTCCTTTTAAAAGTAGCAATTTATCTTTCATAAAATAAAACTAAAACTAAAAAAAAAAAATCATCAGGTCTTGTGATCAATAACGGCGGATTTTGAAAACTAAATAATATTTTAATTGTAAGTTTAATTAAATAAAAATGTATCTTATTTTCATCAGATATTTTTCAAATTTAGAGTCAACAATCAGACATATATAATAAGTAATTCTGAAAAGTTTCAAGTCTTGAACATTATTTTATCATAAGTTATTATATTTATTAGATTAGTGAGTCTTTAGGTCAAAAATATAAACTATGATGCTTTCTTCAAAAAAGAACAAAAGCAAATCAAAAAATCAAAAAGTAACAACAGTAAGACATGTCAAATAAAGAAACATGGGTATACACTAATTTCTATACTAAATCTAGCACTGTGTGATAGATTTCAAAGCAGCTATCAATATGTAGCCCTGGCTCACCGGGGCAAGTTTTGCATACATGCACAGTTTTTAGTGGTTTGCCATTGTTATTAAAAATTCGTCGTGCATAGCAAACTCTGCATAATTTAAATGGACGTCTATCTGTTTCATAATGTGATGGCTGTTTGGTTCCTGGAAAATGACGCCCAGTAAGCCTGTGTATAGTACCATCAGGAACAAGTGATTTGTTTAACTTTGGTGATGATAAAAATATTACTTTAATTATGTTGTGAAGAAAATCTAAGAAAGTGGTACTCTTGTGGCAAGTGTACTTTACAAAAACTTTATGGCTATTTAAAATACCCTAAGAAATAAGCCTCAATGCTAGTTTACGATACCACTTGTAAGTTTTTCATAACAGGGGCAAGCTCTGGAGTTGTTGGTCAAATAGATCTGCACCACCCATGTGGCTATTGTATTCTTTTACACAAATTGGTTTTTGAATATTTATTCCACGAGTATTTTCAATAAGTCTCATGGATGGTTGGTGACATGCTGATAGCATGTAGACAACTTTTTGTTTACCTGAAGCTTTATCTTTCAATGAAAGGAATTTGCAAGCCAGCATTTGACTGTTTGCATCATTATTTTTATAAAAAAATGCATCCCCTTTTTCTAAAACCTCATTAAGAATATCTTTTGAATAATTATATCGATTTGACCTAACTGTGCCACATAGATGTGTCTTGTTATCAAGAAAATACTTAGCAAGTGTTGTACTAGTGTAATAATTGTCTGCATAAAGAGTGTGACCTTGACCCACAAAAGGTTCCATCAACACAGATGGTATTCTTGCTGATGAAGGCATCTGATCATTTATATCATCATCAGCAAACATTCCTTTACCACAGTATACATGGAAGTCTAGTGTTATTCCTTCTGAAGTTGCTAGTTCATATAACTTTATCCTAAAATGAGCACCTTTGGTTTTAATATATTCCTGGTTTATATACAGTTTTAAATCGATTACGCAGAATGTTTATGACTGGTCGCACTTTGTGAAGGTGATCTCTGTTTTCATCAGTTGCATCATAATTTTCATCTTCATTGTTATTAAAATGAAAAAACTTTAATAATATATTAAAACGATTTCGACTAATAACTTCTGAAAAAATTGGAGTATTATACAATGCATCTTTTGACCAATACATAATTAGTTTGGGTTTATAAATAACTCCCATTAAAAGAATGACAGCAATAAAGGTTTTAATTTCTGCAACATTAGTTTCCTCCCACAAAGAAGAGTTATCTGGATTAGCAGCAAAAAACTGCCTTGCATACCGATTGGTTTCTGCAACTAACAAAGTTATAAGTTCATCTGGAAAGTAAAGTTCAAAAAAATCAAGACAAGTTGGGTTTTTCCCCATTCTAACATTTAAACCCTCTTGAAAAAGTTCAGGAAAATCCATTAGATTACTAGGAACATCTTTATTAACTTTTTCCCAAGTTGACAGAGGAAGTTTCTGACTACTATTACGTACTTTATTACAACTAGGCACTCTACCACGATTAGGCACTCTACCACAATAATGCACTCTACAATGTTTATGCATACTACCTTGGAGAACATTATCAAGTATATTGACATTAAATGCAGCATCATCAGCAATAGGTTCTCTATCGTTAGCATGTATAGGATCAGCATCACTTTTTACAGAAATTACATTATTATTACATTGAATACCAGTACCCCCTCGAACACATACACGTCTGATACCTCCACCTCTTGTACGTGGGCTCTTTCTATGAGTGTCAAAAGTTTCAATTTTGCTGTCATTTGTGCTTGAAACACAAAAGCTTTCACTTTCAGTATATTTAATCTATGTTAAAATAGAATTAGAAAAAGGAACAGCAGCTTCCAATTTATCGACATTGTTTTTATTTGTAACTTGAACTTTTCTTTGAATATTAGTAGAAGTCATACTATTTTCAACTTCAAATTTTATTAAATTATCATCCTCATCATTACTAAAGTCACTATCACCAAGATCAATACTTTGATTGTTATCTTTGTCACTTTCTTCAAGTACAAAGTTTAAAATTTCGTCAATATTTGAGATTTTTTTTTGACGTAAACATGATGAACTAGCCATTTTTCAAAATTGAATAACAGCTAAATTAACAAAGCTTTTTTCATGCAGTTTTCTCTTTATGATTGGATAATTATTCTAGTTTCTATTAAGCTAAGTTTTAAAGTCGCTCAAAAAACCCAGGGTTGACAGAAAGCAAAACTCTTCATCCACCGCTATGCAGGGAACTGGTATTTTAACGACATATTTTATTACCCGCTATGTGGGGTATCAGTAAAAAAAGGGTTAAGCAAAATAATATACCTCTTTTTCATTGATATCTTCTAACACTTTTATTGCTTCAACTGGATTATTAATATCGAAAGTAAATACATACGGTTCACCAATAAAATGTTCTGCATAAGGGTGTTGGGAAGTCAATCTGCGATTGGTGGGTTTTGTTTTAAAGAAGTCATGATTTTCTTTACCTGCAAAATACATTTTAATAATAGATATAAATACAAAATTATATATAAATATAAATATATATACATACATACATACATATATATATATATATATATATATATATATATATATATATAATATATATATATATATATATATATATATATATATATATATATATATATAAATATATATGTATATATATATATATATATATATATATATATGTATATATACAAACATACATATATATATATTATATATATATATATATATATATATATTTATATATATATGTATATATACAAACATACATATATATATATATATATATATATATATATATATATATATATATATATATATATAAACATACATACATACATACATACATATATATATATACATACATACATACATACATACATACATACATACATACATATATATATATATATATATATATATATATATATATATATATATATATATATATATATATATATTATATATATATATATACACACACATATATACTTGATTTTGTAATCAAGTATATAGGCGTTTGACACAGTTCCTCATAACAGATTGTTATTTAAACTAAGAGCTTATGGTATTGATGGATTAGTACTGAAATGGATTGTATCTTTTTTCAAAAATAGAAGACAGAGAGTAGTTAAGAGTGACATTGTCTCTAATTGAGTTGATATTCTTAGTGGTGTGCCACAGGTTTCAGTTATTGGACCATTTCTTTTTGTTGTGTACATTAATGATTTTCCAGACACAATCAAAAATCAAAAATGTCTCAAAGCTATATGCTCATAATACCAAAATTTTATCAATGGTCAAAAAAATGGTTTTATCAAACTTTATGATTCTAACTCTGAACGAGATCTTGGAGTTTGTTAAAATTATTTTCTACAAATCTTAAATGGAAAGATCAAGTAACTTAGGCTATTGAGAAAGCAAATCAAATGCTGGGACAAATATAAAAATCGTTTGCAAGTTTCAATAACCAACTTATGAGATCTCTGTATTTAACATTATTTTTGCTTTTTAATTTCAATTAATAATTGGTTTGGTCTCATTATATGAAAGAAGACTGTAATGCAATTGAAAAAATACAACACAGACCAACAAAATAAGTTTCATCAAGTAGCAGTCTCAAATAAGAAGATCAACTTATTAGGCTTGACAACCCTAACTGAGAGAAGAAAAAAGGGAGATTTGATAGCATTGTACAAACTTATGCATGGTATTAACAAGATAAACAGAGGAAAATGTTTCCCCTTTGTTAAAAATTCTTTTAGAGGGAATTGCTTTAAACAACCACAATGAACTCACTAAACATCCTTCGAGAAAACATTTTTTATTTAACAGGTTGGCAAATACAAGGAATTTATTTCTGATTGAAATGTAACAGCGAAGTCAGTTACTTTTTTTAAAAAGAGCTTTTGATTGCTGACTGAGTAGCAATAAAGCATAACTTCTGTCATAGTGTGTACTAAATCACACTCACTGGATTTGTGATTTAGCACACACTATGACAGAAGTTATGCTTTATTGCTTCTCAGCATTGCTACTACTACTACTACTACTACTACTACTACTACTACTACTACTACTACTACTACTACTAATACTACTACTACTACTACTACTACTACTACTACTACTACTACTACTACTACTACTACTACTACTACTACTACTACTACTACTACTACTACTACTACTACTACTACTACTACTACTACTACTATATATATATAGTACTACTACTACTACTACTACTACTACTACTACTACTACTACTACTACTACTACTACTATATATAGTAGTAGTAGTAGTAGTAGTAGTAGTAGTAGTAGTAGTAGTAGTAGTAGTAGTAGTAGTAGTAGTAGTAGTAGTAGTAGTAGTAGTAGTAGTAGTAGTAGTAGTAGTAGTAGTAGTAGTATATTAAATATAGTAAATCTTTTTTTTTTTTTTTAATAAAAAAAAAACTTTTAAATTCAAAGAAAATATTTTCATGAAAATTATGTGGATTATGATATCTTTATTATTACCTATTGGAGGCAAAAACTTGGGATTTATAAAAAAGCAACCATCTGCAATCGCCTCCAAAGGAGCTGGTCCTTCATACGGAAATCCGAGTCCAATGAAAACCTTAGAAAAACAATACAAATAAGTTAATTTTTTAAGTTCCTAAGATAAGCTATTAAAAAATTTTAAATTCAAACTTTAAAAACTTGAAACTCTAAAAAACAATTTTATCTAAAAAACAACTGCTGTCTTAATAGTTTTTTTTTATATAATAGAGAGTAGGGTAAAGAACTAGGGTAGGGTGGGGTAATTTTTGTCTGTGGGGTAATGTGGGTCTATCCTTATCTATCAGTTTTTTAGAAGTAAGGTTTTAGGTACAAAGTTTTTTTTTGTATGTTTATAGGTGTTTCAAATACCAATCTAAATTTTAATTATTATATTTTTGTTTTAAAATAGCACATATTATTTAGGCGGAAAATTTCATCAAAAAATTTAAAAAAAAATGGGCACTAACTTAAAGAAAATGAAATCTGAAAGAAAAATTACTAGATAATTAGGTTCAATTAGTTTTTAAATGGAATGATGTGTAGTTTATTTGGAATTGTTGCTTAAGTTGGGCTTAGAATACTTAACTCAACAATTTTGCTCCACACGTGAACCCACGCTGAATCGACTCAGTTTAGATTGACTAACTTTTCCAATTTAGCTGGATTAAAGTCAATTTAAGGAATCAAGTAATATATATAATGTGGATCTAATCAATATTTATCAGTTTTTTAAAAGAGAAAATTAAGGTAGAAGGTTGTTAAAACATCTCTCTAAATTTTAATGATCAGCTATATTTTTGATTTGAAATAGCCTGTACATTTAAACAGTAATTTTTTTTATCAAAAACTTTAAAACCTTCAAAAAAACGTTATTAAAAATAGCCTCTACTATATAGAAAGCGTCTCATCTGGATGAAAAATTACTCGATAAAGAGGTTCAATTAGTTTTAAAATAGAATGATGCGTAGTTTATTTGAAATAAGTAACATTCTTGGTTGGGATAATGTGAGTATTTATGTCAATGTGTATATTGCTGTTAAGAATCTAATACTAATACAACAATAATTTTAATATGAAAATTAATATAAATAAAATATCTGACTTCTGCATTCATATTTCTGCAGTCATGTTGTATGCATTCATTTAAAAGATTAAAGATGTAATGATTTTATATTTTCAATTGAAACTAATAGATAACGCAGTGTGGCAGTTTTGAAGTATGGCATATTAACTTTTTAGACCAACTCATACTATAATATACTGGAGTCATTGAATATGTATTTTATTTTATCAAAAGTTTTGATAGAATAATACTTCAATAGATAGTGTAAACACAAAAAATACGACATTCTTATAGAATTTTGAATCTCTAAAAAATGACACAAAAACTCTTGGTTAATTTTCAATTGAACTTCTGCTTTAAATTCTTTCTTAAATAAAATTTGAATATCATATTTTCAATATGTATAATTATAATTTGATTTATTTTATATTTTTGTATTTATTTATTTTCACCACATTACAAATGGTAAAAAAAAAACTGTGGAAATTAAACCACAAAAAAGCTCTACATTCTTTGAAAAACAGCTAGCCAATAGGGGTGGTAAACGATTAACAATTAATTGATTATTAAAAATAATTAGTTGATCGATTAATTAACCAAGGATTAATTGATTAAATTTTTGATTTAAAATATTATAATTGCTAAAGTTTATTTTTTATCAACACTTTGTTGTTATAATGATAAAATAACATTTTTTAAGAGACAATAACAACTGTTTTAACTTTTCTTGTACTGGTAAAAAAATATAAACAAATAATACAATGGTGCTGTAGAGAAGTCTGATGGCCATTTACAATATCGTCTGAAAAAAGTCCTTCCAACGTTTGGCATTTTTTATTGGACATTTTTCTTTGGTAAATCAAGCAAAATCATTATATAAATGCAAACATAGTTTAATCGAAACCAAATTCCAACTTAAAGTTTCTTATATCATTTAGACCACAAACATAAAACTTTTTCAACCAAATTTGTTTCATAAAAGACAAAAAATACAGAGCCAAGTGTTGTTGTCTACTGTAATAAAACAGGTAACAAAGCTGAAGAAGTAAAATTAGCTTGTTTAACAGCTGTAAATCATATTTTTTTTGTAACTATGGCCAATAGTAAAGATATTAAAAATGGCTGGAAAGCTCAAGGAATTAAAATCCCAGATGATCGATATGCTATAAAGGCAAGTATTATGAACTATGCAAACTCAACAAAATTTAAAATTGCTCAAGACAACAACAACAAAAAAATAAATAATCTGAGAAACATTTTCAATTTCTCTTGATGAGTGTATTTCAGGTGGAACTAGAAGGCATTTGTGTTTTAATGTACATTGTTCAAACAAATTTTATTATGGTCTTTAAATGATTTGAATAAGAGTAAATGGTTCAATGCCTTCAGACAGAGCAGTCAATATTGTAATTGAAAGGTTAAAAATTTTTGGCTTAAAGTTGATCAATGATATCTTTGGATATGTTATTGATAATGTAATCAGTAATGAAAACAATAGGAAGAGAAATGGAAGTTACCCACCAACTTAGTTATTGCCATGGAAATCATCTTTTGGTATGTGATATTCTTTATATAAAAAAAAAGTTTAGCAACAGAAATAACTGGTGAAGAGCTAATTACGGAAGATCTAAATGAATATAAAGAATCTTGTTCCAACCTTGATGACGAAAATGAAAATAAAGAATGCTGTAATGAGAAAAGTATCAGCTTTGTTGATAAGGGAATGCAATTAAATGAGAACTATTAAAAAATAATACCTTTCAAAATATTTATAGATCAGATTTAGGAAAATAGTTAAACAAGGTGGAATTTTCCAATCAGTATGTTAAAACAATTTTTGGAAATAAAAAATGTTTTTGGAAAAGCTCTTGTAGATATATTCAGAACAGATTTGATTTTATTAGAAGAAGAAATAAAACACACGTTGCAGAGTTAAGTGTTATGGTATTGGGAAAAGGAGACCGTGATTTAATAAAAACTGATAAAACTATATTTTTACTACAAAAACTTAGAGAACCAAATACTAACATTGGTCAAAAACTGTAGTCTCTGAGAGAATTACTGAAAGAAGAAAATTACACTATTGTTGGTTTTCTATGCTGTTTGCAGAATCCAAACGACTTTAAATCAGACTCAGAGTTACCAGGTCTTTTAAAAAATCCAAATAAAAAAATGAAATTTTTAAATTAGCTCGAGATGTTTTCATGTAAGAAAAAAACTAAAGCTGAAGAATTTGTAGAAATGATATCAAATATAACTTCAACAACAGTAAGAAATAATGTAAGTCATCCTCTCAAGAGATTTTGACTTTTTATTAAACAAGAAATGTAAGTACTTGGAAGCACTGAAAAAAGGCCAAACTTCTCAGAAAAAGTTTCCAACGCCTTGCTTAACCTTCCATCATCTTTTGTAGAAGCAGAAAGAAGTTTCAGTGTCGTAGGTTTATTCATTACTAAGAACTAGTTTAAATAATGACGCTGTTATAAATTATGTTTTTTAAGATTATATATAAGAAATCAAATCATAAGAAGTTTTAATTACTTTTATTAAACTGTAAGAATTTATTTGTAAAAACTAATCAAAAATAATCAATTATTCAATTAATTTTTCAAAAGTTAATGGATAATCGATTAATTTGAAATAGTAATTAATCTATCACCCCTATTAGTAGAGATACAAAAAATGATTTAAAAATTTAAAGCATCAAATTAGAAATACAAAATAATTTTTTGTTTTTTTCATTTAAACTATTAAAGTATTCTTTTGATTCCATTTTTTCAATTGAGTTCAATTTTAAACTTTTCAATATAATACATACTCAATGACTCCAGTCATATTTTATAATGAGTTGGTCTTTTTTTATCAGAAAAAGATAAAAATTTGACCAACATTACCTCACTAAATGGGGTATGTTAAAAATGATATATTAACTTAAAAGAATTATATAAAACTTTTATAATGTAATTTACTAGAAGTAATGTCAAAAAATGATTTTATGATTTCTATAAAAAACAAAAGATTATTTTGCTATATAATTTTTGCTCAATATCAAAAGTATCCCACCAAACCCTATTTATTTTTTTCATACTGGTATTTGTATTCTAGGTGTTATTTTATAGTTTATATAAGAATTGAGAACTAATAATATATTTTTTAAACTGTATTTTTTTGATGTTTGAGTTTTGACACTTACAGGTATAATGCAAACTTTAAATTTTTGTATATTTATGCTTATGTAAAATGAAATTGTTTTGCCAAGACTTGTGGTGATTGGAACAAAATAACCCTAATTTTTGGGCCCATCTAGTCCTTAACATGGGAGCAGCGAGTTTATAAAATATTTTCTTTATTATTTTTATCTAAACTTATAATCATCAACAAATTTCAAATTTTATGCATATTCTTATTTAACCTTCGAATGAAAATAAAAAAGTTTGGAGTTTGCACAATGCCTGTAAGTGTCAAAACTCAAACATCTAAAAATTCAGTGTACACCTCTGTATAACCAATAATTACTTGTAGAACAATAGTTTATAATTAATAATATTTAAACTTAAATTAAATTTTATTTTATGTCATAGTGTAATACACATTTCATTCAACACAATAATTAAATAAAGAGTAAATTTTTAAAAATATTTCCAGTTTATTACATTTCTAAATTTTATAAACCTATAACTTATTTAAATATTAGTTTTAATAACAAACTCTTGGCTCTAATTGTAAATAAAGGAAATATTAATTTATGTTGCTGTGCGCCTATAAGCAGTCCAGTTTTTCGTTAATTTTTTTCTTTTGCTAAAATTTCAAATCGATACAATATTTGATCTACAGGAGGTTAAAAAACCTTTAAAATCATAAATCAAAAACTATGCCAATTCCGATCATATGATACTATGCCACCATTTAACAATCCTGAGTTGTAAATTTGTAAACCCAAGCTAAAATACTACATAATCAAAATTATTGTCAATCAAGATTTATTAGTTCATTTTTTTAATACATAAATTTTCTATTACTCAATTTTTTGAACTTTTTTTACAATCGTATTTCATTATTTGACTTTTTCTTAAAATAATTATTTCTAATAATGTTTGATTTAATACATTTATTTAATAAACAAAGACCAAAAATTTAGATATAAAAACTGGAAAATCTGCTTAGAAAACCAAAAAATTTTGCAGAATATAAAACAAAAATTAAATTTTATTATATTAATATAATACATTAGTGTTTATTCAAGAGAAAAGAGTGAGTCAAAACTCAAAAAATAAAACAAAATATTTTAGAAAATAATGATGATGAAAATATTTTTATTTTTACAGAAAAAAATATGTTTATCTTCTTTTTCTTACAAAAGAATTGAAAAAAAGTTTGATATTCAAGATTTCTCAGCATAGACATGCAATCGCATGCCTTATATGACCACGCATATAATTTTTTGTTTTGATAACTTTACCATAGCTTTTTGCAAATTTGCGCATTAATTGCTTTGAAAAGAAATGAAAATTTAAACTAAAAGTAAAAATAAACCATTAACTGAAACACAAACCATTAACTGAAAAGAGAAATACAAATTCAAAAAAACACTTAAATCTTAATGATAAAATAAATAAAATATAAACTATAAAAAATAAAAGCATGAACTTTTATTTTAATTTAAAAAGGTTTCATGTCATGGAATCCAGAAAAGTTTCAAAGTTATTTAATCCAAGAAGAATTACTTCAAACTTTAAACTATTAATTCAGACTTTTTTGAATTAATTATTTGGATCAAACTATTAATTGAGACGCTACTAAATTAAACAAATATTTTAATTTTATATTTTTACTTTTGCTAGTTTAGCTTTTTTTAGTTTATGGTTATATTATTTTTAATTTTCTCTTCAGTTAAGTTTTTTCAGCCCACTTTTAAAACAGGCAAATTATCAAAACATATAGAAAAGTGCAGTGGTTAAACTGTCAAAGCAAAATACTGTGTGCGTGGTCATATATAACCTGAGACCCCATGCGTTTTCTGAGAAATCTTGTTATTGGATGCAATGAGCTCTTAAATTGGACCAAACACAAAAAGTAGTTAAAAGATAAGAGAATATTTAGAAAATATTTAGAAACTTTTTTTACAAACCGACTGAGAATCTTCTAATATAGATTATCAGTTTATTTTTAAAATGCTTCTCACCTTCTATTTATAACAGAGTGCTTTTAATTTTTGTTTATTTTTCAAATAAAATATGAAAATATGAAAATTTATAAATATAAAAAATAATAAACATGAAAACTTTTTTTTCTTCAAATAAAATATGAAAATTTGAAACTATTTTATATTATAAATTCACATTCAAAAATTCAAATCTGCAACCATACTCCACCTCCACCGTAAACAGTCAAATCAAATATCCTAATATCAAATGGCCAAGACTGACCATTACCCATGATGCAAAAAAGTAATCTGTATTTTAAAAATAATTATATAAAATGGTAAAAAAAATTATTTTGATATTATAAATGTAACTTTTTATGTAAAAATGTTGAAAAACTTGGTATTTTTAGACCTTTAAAACATAAGAGCAACTTTTTAAATTTTTTTTTTCAATTATTTTAAATTATATATATACATGGTATTTTGAAAAAATCTTATGCGCTTTATGCCTCCACCCTAATTTATATACACATATGTATAAATTAGCAAGTATCATAAAATGTTATAATATTCGACTTGCACTCAAAACAACAGTGTGATTTTAAAAAACTGTAAAAAAAAGTTTACTGTAGTCTGTTTCAGCAGGTTGTGCAACTTTTCACTTTCTAAAACTCCATGATTAACAACATATGAAGGTATATAAGTTTCAGGTTCAGTTTTTTTTAAATCAGGGTTGCCAAATGTTGCATGTACTTCAAAATATTTTTGAACTAGGTCTAAGAATTTGATTTTTCGAGGATCCTAATTAAAGCAAATAAAATAAATGATAATGATGTATAATAAGAAAAAATAATTATCAACACAAAAAGAAAATTAATAATATTATGCTCATTTGTACATTTGTACTTTGTGTGTGTGTGTGTGTGTGTGTGTGTGTGTGTGTGTGTGTGTGTGTGCGTGTATTTATGTAATTTATGCTATGTTTATATTAAATATTGTAATAGACTTATTTGTAGTAAAACTTTAAACAAGCAATTTTTATTTCAATATTATATATAATTAAATGTACTATATTATATACATATTAATAAATACACCATATTACACTTAATAAATCTTTTTAAAGAAACTGTTAAATACATTAGCAATGCTTTAAACTTTCTTCTTACATTTATTTAAAAATAAAATGTTAATAAATTTTATTCATATTCGAGCTATTTTAAAGAGAAAAACTTACATTCCACATTTTAACATCCTTTCCATATACAAGTGCAATGCGCTTGTTCTTTATTAAATCTTCATCAGGACTTACATGACTTTCCACAATAAAACCAAGGAAAGAATTATCAGGGGAATGAGCTATAAACATAAACAATGTAATTGCATTAGAATGTTTTTAAATTTAATTTAAATTATAAATAAACAAAATTAAAATTAAAAACAATTACAAGTAGTAACCACAATGGCTAGTTTTCATTAAAGTAAAAATACAGTAAAATTTATGTAAGTAAAAATTTATTAACATTTATAAACATTAATTTCAATCAACAAAAGACCACCTTGCATACCAAACCTAATGCGAATCTTGATAACTCAGTCATGGTAGTTAACTCAGTAGTGGTCAAACTTAATTGTTATGATATTGAATGCAGTAAAATAAATACAGTAGTCAGGGAGGGAGAGGACTTACCCAAACTAATCTTTTCACTTCTTCCCGGAATAAAGCAGAGTTATTTGAATCTTACTCTAATTTGACTCTTGAATCTAATCAACTTGAATCCTCTTGAATCTAATCCATCTTGAATCTTGAATCTTCTCTTGCCAGTTAAACAGATTAACCTATTGTTAAACATCAAAATCACTCTAACTTCCAGTGCTAAAGGTAATTCTCAACTAAACACTTCTATGGTTTGTGACAAGATCAAACAAGATTTCCATCATAGTCTTAAAAAAGTGTTCTTCAGAACTCCATTCAATTTTTATTAAACCTTTAAAAAGTGCTAAATAAATGGTTCCAATTTTTCTAAAACTCTAGAAAATCATTTGACCTCTAACTATTTTACAATTATTTTTCACTTTGTTATTAGTTTCTTTATACAAAGTTTTTGAGATTATTTCTTTATAAATGCAGTATTAAAATTATTCTTGAAGGCCTATATTCTTTATTTCAAGTAAACTTATTTCAAGTACTAACAAGGTTCTATCTTTACTCCTGTTTCTTATCTAGAATAAAAACCTTACTGAAAATTTTACATTTATAGTGTCTCAATTTGCTGATGACTGAACATTATATTCTTGTCTTGACAAAAAATATTCACTTTTTGATTGCTTAGAACAAGCTGTCGGTTTTTCTCTCTTCTGTAACAGTCTATAGCTTGCAGTGGTTTATGGATTTAAATTCTGGACTTAAAATCCACAACCTTTGTTAGACAAAACAAAACTTATTTACTGCAAAAAAATATTGCAATATTTTTGATATTCCTATATTGACAAATAAAAACCCTCTTACTCTCAAACAAAGTCTAAAAGAACATTGTAAATGTAATTAGACCTGCTATATCCACCAAGCTTGAGCCACTCTCCAATTGTTGTAAGGTTGCATTTCTTTATTTTTTGGAAAATAAAGAAATGCAAACAACGGGTTTGGAAAGTCTTTTTTTAGATTTTTTCCAAACCCATTTTTTTAGTCGGGGCCGGAGCCCTGGTCAATTACTATTTCTGTATTGATTCAAACAATTTCATGCACATCTTATGTGGCACATTTAAACAATACTAGTTCAAAAGTTGAGCTAGTTATTTCATTATATGAGAGTCGATCCGTGACTAAACATTTTTGATTAGATTAAGAACTGGTAATCTAAAGCACCAAAGTAACATCTTGATCCTCCTTGTGTAAGACCTTGTGTTATACTATGTGTCATGTGTGTAAGAGCGCCATCTTGCTGATAGATGTTAGCTTTTACAATACAATTACCTGATTGATAATACAATTACCTGATGATTGATAGATTCTAATTAGATCTAGAGTGTTTTTAGAATAGAATTTAAAATACTTCTCAGTTGCAAACCTTTTTAAATTTTTTTCTTTGTGATTTAGAATCTGAAAATTTGACTCATCACTCCAAGTCATCTACTGTTTAGTTGTTATAAATTAATAATTAAAAAAATTGTGCTTAAAATTATGATTTAGACTTTTTGCATGACTATTAAGAGAAACAAACTTTTTTTTTCTTTTAACTAAATATTAGTAATATCTTAAAATTTTCTCAAAATAATTCAAAATTCATTGAAAAATATTTTAATGTTCAAATATTGGTGATACAAAATAATTTAAAAAATGTTTACAGTTTTGTTAAGCATTTTGTATAATAAAAACCACAGGAAGCAATAAAAACCAAATAAATTGCTTTTGCGTCACTATGCATTATTATTACTTGAATTAATTATTAAAAAAAAAAATCTTTTCCATTATATTTCTTATAAATGTTCAATAAAAATATGTTTTAGTCTATTTTTTTTAACTAAAAATTGAGATTTTAAACATAAGTAACAAAAAACTGTTTAAATATTTGAACTGTAAGTAATATAAATTATGCAGCAATATAAATTAGCCCATATTCTTAACTATTCAATAATAGGGGCAGTTTTATAGGTAGGGCTATTGATAAGGGATGAAATGCAAGGTTAGAGTTTATTGGTTTTAATATCAAATAAAATGGTCCATTTCTGCAATAAAATTGATGTAAATTATTTTTCAAATCATTTTAAAAACATTTTTTTGAGCGTGAAAGCTTCTATTGTTAATGAGACTATAAAAAACATTTTGATATTTTAATTTCAATAAGGCATAAATAGTAAGTGCAAAAAAACACAAAAAAACTAATGTGAACATACGAAACATAGTGTAATATTGTTTTAAGTTGAGAGCAAGATTGCCATATTCATTTACTTTGTTACCAACTTTCACATTAAAATCAGCCTCTGTACCAAATGAATCAACAATGCGAAGATGACATCTGGAAAGAAAATAAATTCATTATTCATATTGTATCAGTAATAAATGACTACACAAGTAAGAACTCTTGTGACTAATAGAGTTCAGGAGCACAGAGGTCTAGAACTTATTTGATTTTTTAATTACATAAATATATTACTTCTTAAAAACAAACGCCATCACATATTACAAAATATAATATTTCTTTGATTGACTGCTAACTATTTTTATACCCAAAATTATATTTCTTTATGTCAAGAAAATAAAAGAATGACAACAGCAACCACAGTAGCAATAGCAAACCAACCGAGTTAGCAATAGCAAACCACTGAGGTAGGCACAAATTAGGGATATTTACATATCAAAATGTAAATACCTCTAACTTGTTAAATTTTTACATTCTACTCTATTTGATAGCTAACTACATACCAAAATGCAATTATATCATCCAGAGTGTAAGATCAAATATAACAAAATAAAACAATATATAATAACATTTTAAAAACAATAAATATAACATAATAAAAATAACATTTTTGAAATTGTTAGTAATATTGACGTACTGGTTGAAAGCAGTTTTATTTAAAATTGTTTTTAGTATTGTGCATCCAAAAAAGTTTCTTTAAAAAAATGTGTTTTGTTATAAAATAAATTAACTCTCTCAGTAATTATTAATTTTGATAATGCGTAGCTAATAACATAAAGACTATGCTTCAGAAATATATTAATAACTTGCAGATGTTTAACAAAAATTTTAATTTCTAAGCAGCATAACCTATTGTGCAATTTTTTTTATATCCAGAAGCATGACAAGATAGCAAGAACAAAAGCAAATGTAATCACATACAATTCCCTATACAATATGACCATTATTATCAAAGAAAAAATTATTGTTACTAAAAAAATTATAATTATTTAAAAATAAAAAATAAAAATTTTCAAAAAAGCTTTTATTCAATACATTTTAAACTTTACATATTTAGCAAAAACAAACCAAACCTTAAAAAAAACAAACCTTATTGAATTGAAGTTTTTATACTCTTTCACAATATGAGTCATTCCCAAATAGTCTGTGTAAACAATATCAAATTCTGGTTTTTCGAAAGAAGGACAAGATCCAGTAACTGAAGAGCTTTTTAATACACTAAAAACAGCATTTATTATATTCTTTTAAACTTTTTTACATTTTAGAATGTATAACTAAAGATATCTTCTACTGCAAACTTAGGTCTGCCACTAACAACTTAGGCCTACCACTATCAACTTAGGTCTGCTACTAATAGCTTAGGTCTGCCACTAAAAACTAGGGATGTACCAAAACATTTGGCAAATCCGAACATTTGGCTCTTTTGTCGAATTTTTGGTTTGGCTGAACTTAGGCATATATTTCGCCAAACATGCAAAAAAATGCAAATTTTGGAAAAGATCAGATATTTTACTAAATTTGTAATATGGCTAGTAGCTATTATGGTACAATAAATCAAACTTTAATAATTTAATAACAAAATTAGTTAAATTTTAGATATATCATTATTTATTAAACTTAAAACATCAAATAGAAATTTAAATAAAAAATAAATTTTATTGAATTTAAGTCTGTTTAAAGAGATGTCCATTGCTGTTGTTGTAAAGCAAATAAATTTCTCTAATGAGTAAGTTTCTCGTGTAAAATGTAAGTTTCATATTAAATGTAACTTTCATATTACTATTATATCCTTAATGTTAAATTTTATAAATTTATTTTTGTTTACTTTAATATGTGCAGATTATAGTATAAATAAAAATAGTATAAGTTGAACTCATTAAAAGAAATTTTTTCTTTATTTTTTTTTTTCCCAATAATAGGATATTAATCAACTTAACCAAAACAATAGACATTTTAACACTATTTCCTAAAATTTTAAATAAAATTTGAGTACTTTTTTAAAAAAACAAGTTAAACGTAAATAGTTTTCAATTCGAAAAAAAAAGGTTTTTATATTAAAAATAGGAAAAGTTGAGTTGCTGAATTGCTCAGTGTTTGGCCAAATATCATGACCGAACATTCATATTTTGAAAACCAGATTCAGCACATCCCTACTATAAACACAATAAACAATTAAAATATGAAGATATATAGACACACATGATACATTTATTCACAATTAGGTTAAAATTTGAACATCTAAAAATCTATGATTTAAAAGAAAAATAAGAATGAAAATTTTTTATAAAATCTAATTGTTTTATATTTTTATTTTATGCTTGAATGATGCCTAAAACCAATTTCTAAATTAAAAAAGATCTTGCGATCATTAATTGGAATACCAAGCCCTGCACACACATATGGATTTAATTTAAAGCCTAACATACACATTGCACACAATGTACCTTTAATTAGACCTTATTACAGTTTTATAATTATTTTGACACTACTTGTAAATATTTGCTTGTGGCTTTTTGTTAATGGCCATGTATCTCTTTCTGTTTTCTCCTAATTAGGGAACAGCTTTTAAAATTTATTTAACATTTCTGAGGTCAAACAGTTTTTTTCTTCTTATGAATTTGCATTTTCCAATTATTAGTGTTATCCAATAGTCCAAGGCCAAGCATATGACTATTGGTGCTATTGCAATTCAAACATTAATAGCCATCAACACTGAGATCTAAAGATAAAATAGCCAACATTAAACCAGTTTCATGAAGAGCAAGTATGTTTCATGAATTTTGCATACGGCAAGACTTAATGGTGAAGAATTACGACCTAAATAGTTACAATAGTTACAAAAGATTATAACAATTGGTAATGAAGGCTCCTTAGATTTAATATTTGCAGCTGTTAAAGTCATATTTTAAATTATTTGAGAATTTGAGTATTTCTTACCCTTTTTTTTCAAATCATTTTATTTTGCACAAATTCAGGAGAGATTTAGATGTTTTGTTTTTCTGCAGTGAGGGAGGTTTTATTGTATTTAATAACTATATGGTGTAGGCCACAATCAATCATAAATATACCAGAATAAACCCCTAATAAGTGATGTTAGTCACTTTTTATTAAGCTCTTAATATATCATTTGTATGAAGGGGTCCTAAACAATGATAGGCGAAGGCATTGTGGCCCTAAAGACCATTGGTGAATGAATAGCATACCGTTTTGGTGACATCAAATTGTTTGTTTGTTCGAATATCAATCCCACAACCACTAGCGTTTTAAGGAATCCCACAACCACTAGCGTTTTAAGGAAACTATATTGCTTCTGTAAACGTTTGTCTGAATATCAATGCCAAAATGCCTTACATTTCTGAAATAAATTCAATTTTTGAACTTAAATATACCATTTAATTTGTGACTATTGTTATTGTGAAACTGCCTTAATTATTTGGACTTTTCAAGTACATTTAAAACTTTGATAACTTAAATACATTTTTTTTAAATAAATTTTTTAGTATATAGACATAAAAAATACAAATATCTAACATTTCCATCTATAAGCAAACACGACTCTGATATGATCCAAAATAGTTATGCAAGCATTTATAAACAAGCATTTATTTTTTAAAGAATTACTTTTACAACATTAAGGCCAAAATCTCTGATACGAACATTATACTACTATTTTTAAATCATTTGAAAATCTTTATAAAAATCATGGATTCTCTGAGGCATGACTACATTAGTAAATAGTTCTTTAAAGCTGGTCCCATAAAAGACTGATGCAAGGATACTTGGTACGTTGGTAAAACTTAAAGTCAGATTTTACGTGTGCAGATTTTTATTCCATAATTGTCAATTTGGTAGAAAACTGTCACTTTCCATATTGGTATAAACTGTTGATACAATAAAAAGAAAAAACTTTTTCCTTCTAAATACTTTTAAACAATACTAAAAAATCAAAATACTGGTTTGCAGTTTTTTGATTTTACAAACAAATCATGTTACTTGCAAATTGTACTTTTCTTTTTTAACAGTTTTGTTTAAATTATAAAGTATTACACTCTTATCTTATTATTTATATTATTATTATTATTATTGTTAACTTTTAACAAAAATTTCAAGTCTTACTTCCCTAAAGCCATTTTAAACTTTTTTTCTGTTGACACAGATATAACCAACTCATGTCCAAGTAAATAAAGTGAAGCAATTAAGTCAGACCATTGAACTAGTTCACCAAGAGGACCACCTTTTTTAGCTGTGTCAGCAAAATGATATATTTTCTCATCAGCTAAAAGTCCAATATAAATGAAAATCTAACATAAAAAAGACAAAAAAAAAATGTAATCACAAGTTTGATAACTGTAGAGAACAAAAACAAGAATTGCAGAGAAAAAAAACAAAAACAAATTGTAGATAAACGATCAACCTTTTTTTTTGAATAACTGTCAATTTTCATACGACTTTTTAGATTATTGAAAGCATTAACCCAAGATTTCCACATTCTTGATATTCTAGCCACAACCCATGAAATTTTTAAAGGCTCTTCAGTATTTTCAAGTATTTTCTTCAAACCATTAAAATTTAATTGCGTCAAATTCTAAAAAAAAAAATTTGATTATTACAAAAAATATATACGAACATTTTTTTATTCCTCCTCCCATTTATTTCACAAAACAATTTTTTTAAATCCTTTTCTTGTATTTTTCAAAAAAAGTTTAATAATTTTATTAAATAAACTCACTGGTTTTATAGTTGAAAAACCTAAATCTGTATAAAGTTTTGCATGGGATCTTCCAGGCATCAGAGGACAAAAGTGTTCATACTAAAAATTATATTTAATCTTGTACCTCAATAATAAATGCAAAAAAACTATAATTTAAAAAGTCAACTAATATAATAAAAAATTCAGCACCTACCTCACTAATATATGCAAGAAATTCAGTACCTACCTCACTAATAATTGCAAGAAATTCAGCACCTACCTCACTAATATTTGCAAGAAATTCAGCACCTACCTCACTAATATATGCGAGAAATTCAGCACCTACCTCACTAATATATGCAAGAAAGGAACATTGAGATCCATTTACTCCAAGTTGACTATAACAAATATCAGAGGTCCAATATTTTTTCATCCACTAAAAAAAAAAAAAAAATTTTAATTTTTTTTTATTTATCTCTGCTAAACCCTAGAATTTACACCCTCTCATACCAAATACTGATACCCTAGAACTTATGCCCTCTCACAGCAAATACTGTGCAATATATTTTTTCAGACAGTTTGTTTTTTAAAATTCGAAATGCTTTTTTTAATTTAACCACCTTTATATTTCAAAATTGTAATTATTTTTATATTTTTTATATTTAATTATTTCAATGCTAATTATGTTAATTATTTCAATGCTAATTTTAATTATTTTTATTGTTTTTGTTTGTGTTTGTCTTTTGAAACAAATCTTTAAAAAAAGAAACATTGTAAACTACTTTTAATAAATGTGACTATAAATAAAAATTAACTTTAAATTACAAAACTTAAAAATAATATTGTGCAACAAATTAAAAAAAAAAAAAATAAGATGTAAAATTATTATAAACTAAGGAGAAAATTTTAGATAATTTAAATTTAAAAATAAAAAGCAATTAAAAAATAAAATTAAAAACCTCAATCTTTTTTTTACAATCTGGATATTCAGGATCATCTGGTATTGGACAGGTACTTGTTTCAAGTTCTCGTCCATCAAGCATTGGACACCAACCTTCCACCTTTAAATTAAATAAAATCATTTTTGACTTGATGGTTTTATGTCTTCCACTAACAAGTGTACTTAGATTTTTATAACAACATTCAAACATATTTTGTCATTAACTAAATGTAACTGTTCTATTCTACTGTTATTTGATGTTTTTTTGTTGATAGAAATAAAAATAGTTCAATTTGAGCAAGGTCTATCATTTCTAAATTTCTTTTAAATTTGAGTTTTTTTTTTTAAATTCAATATTATGACGTTATAACTTGCGGTAACAGACTGAAGCAATTTTGTAAAAGTAAATTTTTAATATCTACCTAATGATTGCCTTCTACCAATCAAAAACCCAGTGAATACCAGACAAAATTTGCTAAAAGCAGCTTTGATTAAATGACTTTCCAATATTTACTGCTGCTAAATCTTTTGAAGTAAACAAACTTTCTAGTGATGACACTGTTTTATTAATGATAAAATGTTGTGGTTTAATTTCAACAAGTGGCAAGCAAAGTACATATAGTAACTGATATCACTATAGTTACTGATATCGTTACTGATATCACTTACTATATCAGTTACTGATATAGTTACTGATAACACTATATCAGTTACTGATATAGTTACTGATATCACTATAGTTACAGATAATTGTACAGTACACAATTCTTTTATTTATAGTAAAAATATGTAAGTCTTCCTTTTAACAGTATTTTAACTTAAAAATTTAATTTTTTATTCTTTCTCCTACCATAATTATTTTATAAAAAATGATTATAACTTACTTCACTTAAGTATATGATTATAGAACAATATGATCCATCAACACCATGATGTGCATATAATGGATCAGTTTTCCAAGAATTTTGCATCCACTAAAATAAACAATTTTTGATTTATTTAAAAAGAAATTCATGAAATATATCAATTAAAGAGTTTAAATTTCAACAAAAAACCCCTAAATTTCGGCATCACAAATAAAACCTTAATTTTGGCATCACAATCTGGAAAGTCTTTGTGAGGCTTAACTTCACACTTCAAGTTCTTTGTGTTTGTTTTCTTGTTTTCAATAACTTGCCTAAAACCTTTTGGACATTCATGTTCAACCTAAATTGATACAAAAAAAAAAAATCTTCAAGAAACAGATAAGAAAAAAAAAAGATTAAAACATAAAGCAGAATAATAGAATTGTTTGAACCTCACATTACACCCAATTATTTTATATTTTAACACCCAAATATTTAGCATCCTAATATAGATCTTTTAATAAGGAACTTTTATACTTTAAATTTTGGGGATTTTCATAACCTTTTGTGTTTATTAATTATTGTTTAAAAAATTTTGAGTTAGGAGAACAATCTATATATAACAAGTATAATTAGCATTTAAGGCATTTTGACTACAAGTCCACCTAAAAACCAGGCCTCATTTTAGGAGTTTATGGCTCTTGCAAGAGGCCTGGTTTTAGCAGTTTATTGTTCTTGCAAAAGCTTTTTTTTTTCATAAATATAAATCACTTTTTTTTTTTTTTTTTTTTTTAGATAATGATACAAAAAAAAAAAAAAAAAAACTCTTGAGTAAACTATATCAAATAAAAAAAGAAAAAATTGGAGTTTTAGATTGACTTTTTGCTCACAAAATATGTTTGTTTTATTTTTTGCTTTTTTTTGCGTCAATATAACTATAATATTAATGGCATTATAGTTTGCAATGTTGTTTATAAAAGAAAACTATTATTGTATTAACTAAGATGTAATGCAAAAGTCATTTTTGAAATAAACCAATAATTCCATTATATACTTTAAAAACATTGTAAATAGAAAAAAACGTTTTTCATATCATGATAAACAACACTTGTTATGTATATATTTCTTGTAACATTAATGTTACAAGCATATGCTTGTCACAAGTATAAAATCCAATTTTGTATTTAACAGATAGCTCACGCATATAACAAAATCTCTTATAAAAAGCTGTTGAGAGGAGTTGTTCACATGGTCAAATATCACCCTGTCAAATATCACCCCGTTCGTTTACTACATCCCATGTAGTAAACGAACGGGGTGATATTTGACTGGGACCAGTCAAATATCACCCCGTCCGTGGGTTTGATAAAATACAGCTGGGGCCGTAGCCGGGTTTGTGACCGGGGCAGCATAAATATTTAAACATCCCAAAGTATATTTTTTTAATTCAAAATTCATGTTATATTTTGTATATATATGTATATATAAACATCATTATGATCAAAATAATCATCATAGTCGTCATCATCATCATCATCATCATCATCATCATCATCATCATCATCATCATCATCATCATCATCATCAATCACCATCATCATCAATCATCATCATCATCATCATCATCAATCATCATCATCATCATCATCATCATCAACATCATCATTATTGTATGAAGGATATTGTATGCCAGCATCAAAATAAATAGCAAACATATATGTTTATGTCCATAATATGTATGCATAAAGCACATCTCAGACGCTTTTATTCATTCTGGATTAAAAGTTTGGAAGCTTTTATTCCTACTCTTGAATTTAAAGTCAAACCTCAATTTTCTTAAGAACAAATGTACTTTTATTAATCCAAGAAGCCAATGTAAAAGTTCCCGTCTGATGTTAAGCTCCATTATTCTCAGTTTACTAAATCTTGTATCTTATATCAGATGTTAGGTTCACGTTTTGGTGTCATTAACTGAAGTAAGTCAACATTTAATCTCTAATTCATAGTACGGAACGTTTTACTTCTCCTTAAAATAAAGCAGAGTTATTTGCAAAAAAATTATACTCTAATTTAATTCTTGAATATAATGGCCATACTCTTCCTGACAAATAAACAGATTAACCCAATGTTAAACATCAAAATCACTCTGGCTTGCAATACTAAAATCAATTCTCAATTAAACATTTCTACAATTTGTGCTTCAAGATTTCCATCATAGTCCTAGAAAAGTGTTTTCCAGAACTTTCTTTAATTTTTGCTAACTAAAGTAAACTTGACTAAAGTAAGTCTAACATCTTATTAATTGTAAAAAATTTTATAATATTTAATTTTTAAAAAGTGCTAAATAAGTGGTTCCAGGCCTGCTGTGGCTTATGAATTTAAATTCTGGACTTTTTGTTAGAATTTTTGTTAGAAAACAAAACTAATTTATTTACTGCAAAAAAATATTGCAATAATGTTGGTATTATTATATTGATGAATAACAACCCTCTTACTCTCAGACAAAGTCTAAAAGCACATTGTAAATGTAAAGCGCTAGTGGTTTAGTGGTAGAGCGCTCTTGACATAAACAAGAGGTACCAAGTTCGATCCCCACCACGCCCCTGGTAGTACCGTACTCAACTTCTTTCTCTGTGCAGTGGCCTCGCTTGTCAAGGTTCGTGTTTTGGAGTTATAAAGTTGAGAGAAGTTTATAACCAAAATTATGTAGCCTCATCATGTAGTGGTATTTTCAGCCTGGGAAGGTGAATTAACATAAAAATAATATAATAATAAATTAGAAATGCTTTATCTGCCGAGCTTGAGTCACTCTCCCATTGTTGTAAGGTTGCATTTCTTTCTTTTTTCCACAAATACAATCATGGTCAATGCTCAAACAAGCTATTATCTCTATTATGATAAACTAAAACTCATTCTTGCTTGTTTCTTATTCAACATAATGCATCCTTTTACTGCATCTGCGTCTTCATGCTATAGAAACTTTTATTAATCCAGTTTTTTTCTTTGCACATCAAAAAAATCTTATAACTATTAGCCATCTTCATATTTTTCTTTTATATACAACCTACAGCTTTTCAAGTCTTCAATTAACCATTTCCTAGTATTTTTACTTAAAACTCTGTAAAAAAAGCTTAATTTTCTGTTGTGCAAAGCAAACTAAAAGCTGTCAATTTAATAAAATTATCAACTATGTTGTGAATTAATTTAATCTAGAAAATTCTTATAACAGTATTAATATTAGCACTTCTAATGATGATAAAATAGTATATCGAAAACTTTTTCAGAAATAGAATAACAACAATGTCTTGAATTATATATATTATCGATGAAAATAAAAGTGGTTCTGTTTCCATATACTCAAATTTCTGCCCAAATATTGAATTTCCAATAACATGATTTAAAAATTTGTAAGGTTCTTGGCACAAAATTAAGAAATATTGTTTTTCAATGAAAACTAAATTTTTGCAAATTAAATTTTTGCAAAACTTGTGTTAGCATGCATTATATTTAGCATTAATTTATGCAATATGTATAATAATTTATAATTCTATTTAGCAAAAAATTAAATAAAATTATAAATTATTATATATACTATTAGCAGAGCTTGTTTTAAAGCGTTAGGCTGCCGGCAAACTATGTACGCCTAGAGCAATTTACATGAGGCAACTTTTGATATTTTTTTAACTTTTAAATTATTTTATTAAGCGGTAAGATAAAAGAAGTAATTAAAAAAATAAAAAACCACTTTGACGATTATGTAAAAAAGTTTGAATGATAATGATGTTAGAGATGTAAGCGCTACTTACTAATAAAAAAAACTAAAAGCGCTATTTACTAATGAAAAAAATAAAAAACTACAAAAACTTAATCTCTAGAGATGACAAGAATTCCAACTTTTTGATTGCATTAAAAAAATTTACTTAAATTTCTATTTCTATAGTAATAAATAATTTCTACTTAATTTTTTTTTTTTTTGTAATGATCGATTTTTTTGCTTAAAAAACGCTAATGCTTTAAGCTTGAAGCAAAGATCATTATAACGTAATTTATTTCTGATAAAAAAATAAATGATTTAATTCAAAACTAATTTAACAAAAATATATAATTTTATTCTGATAAAAAAATAATTAATCTATTTAATTTAGATTTAAAAAAAATATAATTAAATTTTGATTTAAAAAATATATTTAAGTTTATATAAATTAAAGTCAATGCTTGGGTTTAACTTTAACGTTTAACTGTCATATTTATTTTTTAAATATTATTTAATATTTGAATTTAATTTGTTCTTAAAAGAAAATTAGCTCATTTTTATCACAACTGTTTTTTCGGTTTACCTTCCAAAACATTTTTTTATTACTCAAAATTAAATTTTAAATAAATGACTGCATCAAAAATTTGCACAAAATGTAAGTTAAACTTTTTTTTTATATATGGCAAGTTAAATCGCAGCGATTACTTTTTGATAAATGTTGTTTGGAAAAATAATCTTTGCTTTCACAACAAAATCATTTATAAAATAATAAACTTTTAAAAAATAAAAGTAGATAAATTAATATAATTTTTTTATGTTACTCGCTAAATTTTTTAAAATAAAAAATCTTTTTTAGTTACAATTTTTTTTTAAGGTGGTCGTCTAGTAAAAAAATAAAAAGTACAATTTGATGGAAAGTTTATTTTATTTTTCAACATAAAGAAGATATAACTGTATTATTAAAAAAAAAAAATTAAAAAAAAAATTTTGTTTTTTAATGCTGAATCAGCAAAAAAAGCTTAAATGATCACTTTCTTAGAACAAAGAGTTCTAGTTATCTGTACATTCGTTTTGCATGTTTGGTTTTGCATGCAGGATATACAAAATGAGTATGTGAACCAGTAAAAACTTGTAATTATGTTTAGATCCATAATGACAGCTCTACGTATTTGGGGTAATTAAAAAAAGGGTAAAATTCAAAAAAAAAAAAAAAAAATCCCATAATTCCTAAAATACTCAAAGAATTAAATAGATTCTGGTTCACATACTAACTTATATACATATGAACAAACCCTGAAAATTTCATTCAAAAATAGTTCATAAAAGCTGAGATATGCTTGTTATAAGTCTGAAATATCACAAACAGAGAAAACTAACAAAATATAAATAAAAAAATTAAAATGACCCTTTAGAATAACTTAGAATCTCCTCCTTTATGTTGTTTTTCTTTATCAATAAATAATTTTAGGCTTTAAGTTTCTTCATTCTTAAGAAAGTTTATATTTTCAAGTGTGGTTAATAATTTTTGCCCAAAATAATCAAAAAAACTTGTTGCTAAGGACGTTGCTAAGGGATTTTGAACATGTTTTTAAATTTTTAATTAAAAAACATGTTCAAAAGTATATATTTTCTGAAAGAGCAAAAATTTCTCTTTTAAACTGCATCAATAACAAAAATTTGATTTTTTACTTGACAAACACCTTAATGATTAAAAAAATGTGCAAATAAACTTTTTTTTAATGATTAACAAATATCGTTTTTTAAAACTAACATTTTTTAATTCATTTATACAAATGTAAGAAAAATAATGTTTTGAAAATTTTTTTTTTTAATTTAATATCAAATTTAATTAATTAATATTAAAAAAAATGAAAGAAACGAGTTAAACAATATTTTACTCGTTTTGCAGTAATCTTAATATTATTGCAATAATTTGAAAAAGGTAATGTCTTTAAAAAATAAAAAGATAAAGAGAATTTTATAATGTTAAATTCACATTAGGCTGATGCGTTAAGCATTTGTTATTTTAAAACAAGGCCTGTACTAAATATATATATGTATGTATGTATATATATATATATATATATATATATATATATATATATATATATATATATATATATATAGTTATTTTAAAACAAGGCCTGTACTAAATATATATATGTATATATATATATATATATATATATATATATATATATATATATATATATATATATATATATATATATATATATATATATATATATATATATATATATGTATATATATATATATATATATATATATATATATATGTATATATATATATATATATATATATATATATATATATATATATATATATATATATATATATATATATATATATATGTATATGTATATATATACATATATATATATATATATATATATATATATATATATATATATATATATATATATATATATATATATATATATATATATATATAAATTATTATGTATATATATATTTACAGGCCTCAATAGGATTAAATGAGTACGAGAGCAGAAAAAAACTCTTCTAAAACTTAGGGAGCTGTGCGAGCTGCTCCTCATTTAAATTGGCGCTCTTTTTTAATTCAAATTTTTTTTGCAACAACTGTGCCTTTTAAAAAGCATTTCAGTATATTATGCAATTAATTTTTTCTAAATGACATTGTGTTTTTTATTTTATTTAAAATGATAGTTATAGTTTTATGAGAAAAATTATACTTTTGCGAGAGCCATAAATAGCTCTTGTAAAGCTATTTACTTTTTTTACATTATTGTTATGGCAGGAAGTGAGAGCTAAAGCTCTCGCTTCCCGCCAAGGCCTGTATATATATATATATATATATATATATATATATATATATATATATATATATATATATATATATATATATATATATATAATAAATAACAAAAGAAATATACTCACATAAAAGAGATAAAATACTCACATAAAATAGTTATTGTAGAAATGAAAATAAGAAAAATACTCACATAAGAGAGATACTGTAAAAATGAACATAAAGAGCCATTAACCCCTGCCTCAATGTATTTAGAAGTGTTCCAATTTAGTGACAACCACTATAAATTAAAACACGAATTTTAATAAAAAATTTATTTATAAAAAAAATTATATATAAAAAATAAAAGTTTTAAAGTGTTTGAGTTTTAAACTTTCTTTAATAAACCATAAATATATTTTGAACCAAGTATTAAATATTCTATAACGTAATATAAATTTTTTATAAAAATATTGATAACCAATACCAAGTATCATAAAAGTATTATAACTAAAAACAATAATTTTGATGCAACACTCTACAACAAAAAAATTTTATGAATATTTCAAGATTATATAAAATATAAGAAACTTAACTAAGCAGGTTTCAAACTTGAGCTTTATATGACAACAGTAATTCTCAAACAGTATTCATATAGTTCAAAAAACAATAGTTCTTGAGAAAATTAGAAAAAAAAATGTACTTTTGCCTAATGGTAAGTTAGCTATGCCGCTTGTCCCTGGAATAACAATTCCATGGACCAAGTAGAGCACAGATTGCCAATATGTGATTAAATATTGGATACAATGAAGAATTTCTTTTAAACTTTATTATGTTTCCAACATATCAATGCCAGTAGCATGCTTGCTTCAAAAGCTCTTGCTGGATTTTTTGAAAAAAGCATACTTATGCGGGGTTTAACCATATATATATATATATATATACATATATATATATATATATATATATATATATATATATATATATATATATATATATATATATATATATATATATATATATATATATATATATATATATATATGTATATAGTTAAACCATATATACATATATATATATAAAATATAAATATATTTTATGTATGTATATGTGGTTAAAAAAAAATATATATATATATATATCCGTTGCAAAATTAGCATCTGCTAAAGTTGCTTCTCTTTATCGAGCTCATCACTTTCTTACTCTGGATTCTATTCTCTATCTCTATAAATCTCAAATCCAGCCTTGTATGGAATACTGTTGCCATATCTGGGGCGGATCTTCTAATGATGCCCTTTCTCTTTTAGACAAAATGCAAAAACGCATTGTAAACATAGTTGGACCTGCTCTTGCAGCCAACCTTCAACCTCTGTCACATTGTTGTAATGTTGCTTCTCTTTCTCTTTTCTACAAATACTATAATGGGCACTGCTCGAAAGAGCTAGCGTCTCTCGTGCCATCTACTAAAATTCATTCTTGTGTTACTCGTCATTCAATTAAGTCTCATCTATTTTCTGTTACTGTTCCTAAGTGCTCCAAAAACTCTTATTCGTCTAGTTTCCTCGAACATCAGTTCTTTGGAATTCGCTTCCTTCATCTTGCTTTCCTGATTCATATAATTTGCAATCTTTTAAGTTGTCTGTCAATCGTTATCTTGCTCTTCAATCTTCATCTTTTCTCCTCCAGTAACTTCCAACACTAATTAGTGGTTGCTTGCAGCCTTATTGGAAGCAAAGATAATTAAAAAATAATAAAGTATAATTAAATAGAAAAATAAAACTTTATAATGGAACTAAAAGTTTCATGCCTATCGGCAATCTTCAGCCATATACTTTATAGAAATCAAGAAAAAACCGTTAAAAATACAAAATACAAAAACAGCAGTAGAATGAGTTCCGACATCAAAACAAAACGAATAAAAAAGAAGCATAGTGGTAAAACTGCTAATCGCCATTGTCGAATTGGGCAAGAAGAAATTTATTTTTATGCCGACACTTAGATAATATTTCCTTCTTTTTATTTAACAAATTTGGGTGTTTAAAAAATAAAATTTTGTACTTTTCGTTTATGCATAAGTTACATTGTTTTGTTACAGGGTTATAGGCATCGCACTGTTTAATTATTTTCCACCTAACAACCAGGTTCAAGTTTTCATCTTTTAATTTCCAAACCTCCTTTGATAATTCAGTGTCATTTTTGTATTTGGGAATTTTAAAAGATTTTATGTGATTAGCATATCTAATTTTAAAAGATGTTTTGCTTATGCCAATGTAAAATTTATTGATGGGAGTTTGACCAAGATTGTTGGAACATACATTAGCTTGATATACTATATTTTTTGTTAAGCATTGGTTTGATAAAGGGGAGGTGTTTTTATCTATGCAATTGCAATTATTTTCAGCTGATTCTTTCTTGTTGTTTATAACATGGCGATTGTGGGCCTTTAAAACAGATTTCATATTCGGAATACAGCTATTTTTGACATTTACAGGCAAATGAGAATGTTTGTCAAAGAGTTGAGATGATTGGAGCTTGAGGACAAAAAATCCCTAATTTTTTGGCCCTTAACATGGGAACAACAAGTTTATAAAATAATTTCTTAGTATTTTATTCTAAGTTTCATCAACAAATTTCAAATATATATATATATATATATATATATATATATATACATATATATATATATATATATATATATATATATATATATATATATATATATATATATATATATATATATATATATATATATATATATATATATATATATATATTTGAAATTAGGCTGAGGAGATGATATGAAACTTTTGTTTAATCTCACTTAGTGTTTTGATTTTTTGATGAAAAGGGACATTTTCCATTGATCAGGTTTCAGAAAATACCTAACATCAGCAATACGAGGGGAACTTCAGAGCTATACTAGCGATCCTGGCCTTTATTTTAATTCCTTCAACAAGGAATTAAAATAAAGGCCAGAGGGTATGTTGATCTATATCGTATGGCTGGGGACACCAACTGTATAACGAAAACGACTTTAATAACTTGGTTGAATAACTGAATTCATACAAAAATACTTTAAACTTCTTGAAAAATTACTGGAAGCAAGAGCTATCCATACTAGAGATATCCAAAAGTAATAAATGCGCAGAGCGCACAATCAAAGTAATGGAGGAAATTTATTCATCATGCAAAAAGAAAGACAAATTGCACCTACGATTCCTTCTGCGCAACAAGCAAGAATAAGGTCAAGGATCATTGTTGGATTGAAAATTTATTGTATTACATGACTATGACGTTCTAAATACATTTGAATACATAGTAGTACTTGTGTCAAAATCTTTAGGTAAAAGTTTATCAAACTACAGTAGAGGAACATGGGGTTGATAAAAAAAGTCATAACCCAAATATATATATGTATATATATATATATATATATATATATATATATATATATATATATATATATATATACATATATATATATATACATATATATATATATATTTATGTATGTATGTATGTATGTATGTATGTATGTATGTATGTATGTATGCATGTATGTATGTATGTATGTATGTATGTATGTATGTATGTATGTATGTATGTATGTATGTATGTATGTATGTATGTATGTATGTATGTATGTATGTATGTATGTATGTATGTATGTATGTATGTATGTATGTATGTATGTATGTGTTAAAGTTCATTTTTTAAGTTTAAAATTTTTGATAAAACTTCTGAATTTTTTATTTATTTTTGATTTGACAAATATTTATACCATGGCTTACTAAATAACAGGCCTTGCCAACGCACGGCTTGCGTAAAAAACTGGAGGCAAGTTTAAAAATAGTATTTCATAGCAATTTACATTTTCAGTTTAAGTGATTTTCGCCTGAATATTGTTTTTGTGTATACCTATTAAAAGTAACTTATAAAAAGTAAAAAAAAAATAATTTGTTATTATACTTATTTTAAATTTATTTATTATTAAGTATATCTAAAACTAAATTGTGTTGCAACGATTTAGTAAGTAAATTAAAATTTATAATTTGCTAAAATTTTTTCAGCTTCTATTTTAGCTCCTTAAGTGAACGAGGTGAATAGAGTCTACAATAATTATTTAACAAAATGTTTGTCATAGTTAATCCATGATGTCTTTCTATACCTAATGAGTAGTAATCTGGTACCATCCAAATTTCCATATGCTTCATAAAAATAAAAGGTGTCATCTGGATTTTCATCTTTATGAATAATGTACCCAGTAATATATACTAATGATATTTTAATATGGACAGCCAATGAATCGCTAAGAGCATGCAAATTGTCAATAATGTTGCAAATATCCTCGCTTGGTAAAAATTTACATGACAAAAGTGATCTGAACCAAGATTGATTAACACATCTGAACTATTCTCAGACTTTAACAACAACTTTGTACGATATATAGTTACTTTTTCAAGAACTTATTGAACAGAAATAAAATAAGTTCCTCCTGAGTCTTGTCGTAATTTTCCAAAGAGCTTTTCTAATGGATCTGTTGTAAAGTTGCCTAATAACACATACTGATGAGTTGTGTTTAAAAGATATTTTGACAGCTGAACCAAGCCATAACAGGTCTGAGCTAAACATTTAGCAGTATCTTTAGTTAGTAACTTGATTCTTTTTCCTTTCTCTATTTTTTTCATTTGTAATGCAAAATCACCAATTGCAGAAAGTTTGCTTAAATTTTCATCATCAGCAGAAGTAATAGCAGATCTATTAGAATCTTTCAAACGAATGTCTGCATATGGACTGTGAACGTTACAAATTTTTCAAAACTCAATGACTTTAGAGATTAAAATAATTGTTTCTTCATTTTCATGCAGGTCTGGATGACTTTTTAATGCTGCTAATGTTTCTTCACAAAACACTTGCACACAAGTGATAACCTTTTGTCTTTCAATTGGCTTTGGATAAACAGAGACTTCTGTAAATTTAGATATTTTAACAATATTCTTTGATTCAAACTTGTACAAATTAATAATATCAACCCACCGTGCTATATTTTTTTCTCCATCAATATAAAATTCAAGCTCTTGAGTTTTTTCTGTCATACAGTTATTATGTATACTTTTAAATAAATGTAGATAATCAAATAAAAAAAATATATTATCTTTACTACACTACATGTTTTAAATCAGGTCAAAGATTTCAGATTTAGCTGAATTCTTATTTTATTAGATTCTAACCCAATGATCAGTGTTTTGGTGATTAATCACCAAATTCCACAATCTACAATAGAAGCAAAGCTGTTGCCAGGAACAATGCAAAGTCGTACAAGAAATGCCGCTCTTAGCAAACCACCTCTAGTAATCAGGCCTTGTGATGAATAAAAACTGTGCGACGCATAAGCACGACGTGATTTTTGACGTCATTAAATTCTTTTTATTTGCTTTTCATATTTATCGACATTAACTGCAATAATTTACTTAATTATCGCAAAACTACTTTAAATCATTAATGTAGAAATGTTATTATTTAAAAATGTTTTGGAATGTTTTGTTTTTTAAAATGTGAAAACATTGGTTTATTTTCTTGATGCTTGACACGTTTTGTCTACTAAACGAATAAAAAACATTATAACTAAACATTTAAAAAAGATTATAAAATATGCTAATATTTGATTTTCTCAAATATGTAATTTAAAGTTTTTCAAATAATTATTTTTTCTTTTTAAAAAGTCAGCTAGTAATAAACTGGAAATTTTAATATTGTACGATTAAAAACTATGCAATAGCTAATTTTTTTAGTAGCGATTTTATATAATATTTTTTTATTTATTTATTTTTATTTATTTTCATTAAGCGGTTGATAAGCACAACCACTCGTATTACTAAAAAACTTTAACGAATGTTTTGAATAGATTTTTAATGTTTACAAGGAATTTTATTTTTGGTAAAATAAAATAAAATGTTAGAATAAAAATCTTATAGGTATAAAAGACATATTTCAGCGAAAAAATTATTCTTAAAAATTATTCGAAAAACTATTGACGTTCTATTTTTAAGCAGCTGTTCTTCAGCATGCTTCGTTGAGTTTCGGTAACTTTTAACAAAAAAGCGATTGTTATTATTTAAGTAATTTTTTTCGAGCTACTTTTTACAAAAATTTTAATAGCTGTACTTTTTTATTGAATCAAGTAGAATACATTTTAATATTAATTCTTTTATTTTTTTAATTTGCACTTACCAATTTTTAAAATGTTTCCTCGAAACTACTCTTAAATACTTTAAATACGTCTAACAGTTAATAAATATTTTTAAATCTATGGAATAATTTTAAAACCTAACAAACCCCCATAAAATAATTATTTAAGTTGAAAATCTAAAACTAAAAGAAAGTATTTTTGTTCAATTTTATCGACAACTTTGCTATTGCTGATTATTTTTAATTATAAAATGTTAGCTTAAAAAAATTTTAAACTTTTTTTTTAATCTGAATTTTTTCTACTTGTAAATAATGAGCATGTTTAATTTTTTTGTAATTCAAACTTTTATATCAACTGCCTGTAGTTTTTAAAATACTTTATTAAATATTAAAATAATTGCAACTTACTTCATTAAAATTCCGTTAAAAAATATCTTTAAATATACTCAAACAAAAAATTTGCTTTAAATATACTCAAACAAAAAAATTGCTCAACGCAAATAGCCTTAGCTACACGCAAAATTGCTCTTGGACGACGTAAAATTCACATCGCCCGACGCTTTATCGCACGGCCTGTAGTAATCAAATAAAATGTTTCAATCTGATGAAAAATTTTATGATCTATATTTTGAAAACTTAATTTTTCCAGACACCATTAGATTTATAATAAAACATACTTTATAAACTCTATTATCTTTCTTAATAAACAGTGCTACCTTATTTTAAAAGATTAGCTATCAAATGGGGGTCAAATACATATTTTTATTTGGTAATAATAAGCTATACTGCCATACTTGAATTTGTATTGTATTTGATAAAAATAAAAAAATTTAATATTAGAGGTCAGTACAATATGTCATGTCATGGCATCCTAAAGATACTAATATAATATGCACGCTCTGTGTTAAAGATCTATTTAAGCTTGAGACTTTTAAACTTTGCCTCTTTATCGTAACTTAAAATAGAAAAAAACTTAAAAGAAAATTTAAAAAAATGTCTATAGTCTGTATAAATAATTAAAAGTGCAGTAAATAAAAAGAAAAAACTTCTATGTTTTTTAAACAATAAACCTTATTATCAGAAAAATTCTTAGAAATGGAATGGATATTTTTGGACTTTTATGGACTTTTATATTATGGACTTTTATATTAAAATTACATTTTTGGACTTTTATATTAAAATTTGGACTATTATATTTATATTATATTTGGACTATTATATATATATATTATATATATTTGGACTATTATATATATATATTATATATATTTGGACTATTATATTTGGACTATTTATATTAAAATTTGGACTTTTATATTAACATTTGGACTTTTATATTAAAATTACATTTTTAAAAGAAAAAATTTACCTGAACCTTAGCATCACAATTAGGAAAATTTGGATCAACCGGTACAAAACATTCATAATGTTGAAATAATGCTAAATAAATAAATATATAAAAAAATATTTATATATATATACATATATAATTTAAACCACAATCCTGCGGTGATGTTTTTACATTGCAGACATAAATTTTAATTTACGTCTGCAATATAAAAACATCACCGCAGGATAGTGGTTTAAATTATATTGGTTTAACAGAGCACACCTTTAAAGATCGCTGGTACAAGCATAACTAATGCTAACAAATGCTAAGCAAACCTAATGCCACAGAACTTTTTAAATATATCTGGGAAATGAAAAAAAAGGGACTTTCAAATCCTATTATTACGTGAAAGATTAATGATAGGGTAAAACCTGTTAAACCTGGAAGAAAGTTATGTAACCTTTGTTTAACGGAAAAATACCATATTATTATATCATCTTTGAAACTATTAAACAAACGAAATGAATTAATATCTAAATCGTCTAATCATTGCCACAAAAACAAATTTCTTATCTGCAACTTTAAGGTCATATAAGCTAACACTATATTGTATTTTTGTATATAATTTTTGTTATTGTAATGGTTGTTTGTAACAACTGATGATCGCATAAAGCGTGAAACTCCGAGTTATGTTACAAACTTAATTGTATTTTATTATTATCTTAATATAATATAATATTATATATATATATATATATATATATATATATATATATATATATATATATATATATATATAATATATATATATATATATATATATATATATATATATATATATATATATATATTCAACATCTTCGTTTCCAACAAGACTGCAAGCAAATCCCTATTAGAGTTACAGTTGGAAGTTACTGGGAGAAGTTGAAAGTTACTGGAAGAGAAAAGATGAAATTTATAGAGCAAGATAATGATTGACAGACAACTTAAAAGATTGCAAACTATATGAACCAGAAAAACAACATGAAGGAAGCAAATTTCAAAGAACTGACGTTTGAGGAAAGAAACTAGACTGATAAGAATTTTTGGAGCTAAGGAACAGTCACAGAAAAAGAATGAGACTCAATTGAACAACAAGTAACATGAGATGAATTTTAGTAGATGGTACAAGAGACGCTAGCTCTTTAGAGCAGTGTCCATTATTGTATTTGTAAAAAAGAGAAAGAACATTACAACGAATAAAAAGAGAAGCAACATTACAACGATGTGATAATGGTTAAAGGTTGGCTGCAAGAACAGGTCCAACTATGTTTACAATGTGTTTTTACACCTTGTCTAAAAGAGAAAGGGCAATATTGGAAAATCCTCTCCATATATGGCAACAGTATTCTATACAAGGATGGATTTAAGATTTGTAGAGATAAAGAATAGAATCCGGATTAAATATCGAGCACAATAAAGAGATGCAACCTTACCAGATGCTAAATTTTGCTACAGATTTGATATATGGTTTCCAAGAAAAATCTGAAGTAAGAGCTAATCCTTGAAGATGAAAGGTAGATGACTCATTGACTACATTACTGTTCATAAATATAAGAGGATTCCAAAATATTGTGATAACGATTAGCTGAAAAAAATTTGGGTTTTATCTGAATTAAAGTTCATCAGCCACTGTGAGCCAATGCTGTAGCAAAAGTAATATCCTTTTCAAGCTCAAATACGCCCTCCAAGCAACCAGAAAATGTTGGCTTCTTATCATGACAAGAATAAATGGTAGTATCATCACCAAACAATGCCACCTTAGATGTAAGAATATCTGGAATAGGGTTGAAAATTTCCAGGAAAATTTCAACTCAGGAAAATTTCCAGAAAATTTGGAAATTTTCAAAAAAAGATAAGCAGTTATTTATTTATTTAGGCAGTTGTTATGGACAATTTTATGGTAAAATATTGTGAAGTAGATTATAAATATTTAAGACAACCCCCTTTGAAAAACACTTTTTTTGGTACTTTGTTGAGTTTTTTATTATAACTTTAACTAGCAACTACAATTTCAAAATTTTTAAAAAATGTTTTGTCCTTTTATTTGCTATACATATAAATGTCAATTGCAGTAGCAAGCTTTGTTTAAAGCTTAATATAATGCGCACCCCCATCGCTATAGGGATAGGGGTGTGTATTATATTAAGCCTTAAACACAGCTTTGTTATTATTTGTTAATGGAGAATTTTTCCATATCTATTAAATTGGCTAAGTTATTGAAAACTTTAAAATTAGATATAAAGAGATTTTATTTAAAATTTATATTAATATTTAAATAATTTTATCTAATATTACAATTTTTTCTTGATTTAAAGATGCTATTGATTAAAAAAAGGCAAAAAGTAAAGAAAAAATTTGAACTATTTAAAAACTAGCAATAAAAATAAAGAACTAATGATTTCGAGGTCATAAATTCCACTCCTATATTTAAATAAGTGCTTCAAAGATTTATGTCTCACTTGCCAAAACCTTGCCAGTGCACTTTTGCCTTTATAAATCAATACATTAAAAAACAAGGGGGGGAGGGGTGAATCCGTGAAAAGTACTGATTGGTTTTTTTAAAATGAAAATAAAAAAAGGTCCTTAAAAACTAAAATTCACTAACTGAATTGTGTCAAATACCTTTGTAAAAAATAAATTTGTAGAAAAACCAACTAAAACTTAAAAATCACTTTCATTGTGGGGGTAGAACACCACCTTTCCTCAAACACCCTTCCCCTAAAATCATCTTTGCATGCAACCTTTACACATAAAAAATCTTTGTTTCTTTATAACACTCTATAAAAATAATACACAATAAAACAAGTTAATCTTAAAAAGATTTTATTCTAGTATTTTGTGAATATTTTACATTGTAGTTAAGAGAAGTTAAAGCTAGAAACATGTTATACACAAGCTCAAAATAAAAGCTAACTCGGAAAACATCTACTTTCTGTTGTTTAACACAAGTAATGAAGTAACATATAATAACTTTAGCTTACTTTTAACTTCAACTTATTTTTATTGTTTTTTTAAAAAAATGCGTGATTTCTAAATTGACTATAAAAATTTGACTAAAAGATGTGCATTTTTTGTGTGTGGGTCTTTATTATTTTATATTTTTGTCAAAATATTTAAAGAATACCCAAATACTACGATGATAAAACGCATATGTTTGAAACAAAGAAATGAAGTTTTCAAAATATATAATAACTATTGGTCCATTGCAATAAAAAAAAAATTTAAAATTTCCTGAAATTTTGAGAAAAGTTTTTAACCCTAATCTGGAAGATCGTTAATTTAAACTACATAGAGTCTAGGGTGAACCTTGTTTTCCAGCCTGCTGGAAAGCAGGCTGGAAAATAAGACTCTGATAAGCACTTGGTTAATAGTTTTGAAAGTATAGACAACAGCTCCAGAAAACACTTCTACAAGACTATAACAGGTATGTTGTCTTGACAACAACCTGTGGAAGAGTCTAAGCAAGAAATCACTTTAGATACAGAAGCTGGAGTGATATAAATGCCAAGAAATGGATCAACCTGTGTGTCCACTATATCAGGTAGAACGCAACTAGTAGAATTAAAAGATGATATTGATAAAAAGTTCTTAGCAAACAATTCAGTTTTGTCTTTAGGTGAGGTGACAACTTCTAAACCATACAAGAGAAGTGGAATAACAGATTTGCCCTTATTATTGATACTGTTAAAGATTCTCCAGAAGTTATGGGAGCCTAATTTTTGTTATGAAATACTAGATTTCATGACCTGAGGATAGCGGGCTTAGCATTAGACAAAACCTTTTTACAATGGTTTCTAAAAATGCAAACAGACGTCTGTTTTCTGGAGAATTGTAATGCTAATAGATATGGAAATAATGGTTTCGATTAGAAATTGCAGCAGCACAATGTGAGGAAAACCATGGAGAAGAGCGAGGTTTGATTTGGAATTGTCAAGAGGGAATAAAAGATTTCATACCAGCCTGAATCCAAGATGATATGTAAGAAGCACATTTTTCAGCAGGAAGATGAAAGATTTCTACCCAAGGGTTATCACAAAAAAAATAACGGAAAGAGTTCCAGTCAGCTTTAAGGTAGTTGTAAGAGGTACATTGATAGGGGGATTCTGATGATAAAGAAGAATGAGATTTTTATCATGTTTTGATCTCTCTAAATAGTTTTAGAAAGATCAAAACATCTTAAAAAGCACCTGAGGATGAATGTGGAGAAGACATAAGTCGAGTAGAGAAATTAAATGATTTGGAAAAAAAATTGGAAAGTTAACTATTTGAGTTAAAGATTGAGAAAGGCAAAAGTTATGGACCTTAATGCCTGCAGATCAGATTATTAAATTACTCTCACAAAGAGCAAGTAGGTCTGGTGAACTTTGAAAGAGATAGAACACAGTAGAAGAAAAGTTACTTTGAAAACCACGAATACTAGTAAATGATAGGTTTAGAGAATTTGGCGATGACGATGGTTTTTTTGTGTCTCATAGTTTTTGGTATTTTAGACATTTACTTAAATTTGTAAAAGAACTTGACTCAAGCATAGTATTTAGTACACTACTTAATAGTTCAAGCAATTGCCTCATTACTATTAACAAACCTTAAGCCGTAAGAAAGGGCTCTAAATGTGGCCTTGACAATGCACACCAAACGTATGAACAAGAACACCATCAATGCACAACATGTCACTCTTAATACTCTGATATTTTTAAACTCTTGATGGAATTACCCTCTCTGAGAGCTACCACAGAGTTTGGGAAAGCTGACTACCAGCCGGCCTCAAAATTATAAAACTGAGTTATAGAGCTGTACCCTCATTAGGAGTTATTAAAATGAGTTGCCTGTCATAAAAATATAGAAACAAGAAAAACCCATGCATTGAGACAAGAAGATCCAGCAATTAACATCTGGAAAACTGGAAACAATATATTATAAATACATCTGCACCAGCCTAATAGATGAAAAAGGGACGCAAGGCTGGTCAACAGATAGAACCTGTTTTACCCCCTAAGTCTTTGCCTGGGAGGCTTTCTACAAGACAATAGACGGATGCGTTTAACATCTGTCCAAGATAAGTATTTAA